CATTCCTCTTTCTATTTTTCCCAGGCCGGCCGGCAACGTGGCGTATGAGCAATATTCGGGCAAATTGAGCATTTGATTTGACTGGCAAACGTCGCCGCCAACTGCCTTTGACAGCAGGCATCAAGCTCGAGAGCAATCGAATAAGGAATACCAGAGTAGAAAGTGGAAAGCCGATGGAAAAAGGTTCAGAGGTCTAGGGGAAAATGCTGAATAAAAGAGGAGCGAGAAAAAAAAAGGAAGGCTTCAATGTGACACTTTTCCTTTTTTCCTTTTCCTTTTTTTTGCCTGCTCAACGCCATTTCCATTTACGTTGTTTACATTTTGCCAAGGCGTGTTTTTTTGCAGCCAAAAGGCAAACGACACCCGCCGCTCGATGGGATGCGATGCGGGTCATGTAATGGCCATGGCCATGTCGCATAGGTGGGCCTAGGATAATGCACAGCGAGAAAATCCAACAGCCAACTGGATAAACGGCCAAAGATAACGCCATTTGTGGGAACTTAGCCCACCTGCTTGAGTGGGTTAACCTATTCATTGAATCAGACACATTTTTGGGACTCGTAGTCTGGAAAATCGCTTAAATTAAGTTTTCGATGAAAGATATGGTTGAGAGGTATAAGTACACTTAGAAAAAAGGTGTGTCATGCACTTATAAAAGTAAATTTAAACGTAAATGGTTTCAAAGACAAGTCTTCAAGCTCTGAAAATGAATGCTTTATAGAGTATAACATAGTCTTTAAAGTTTCTTTTAATAATTTCTCTCAGTGCACTTGACGTTAACTGTGACACCAGCGATAACCGAAGTTTTGCTTGTTTTGTACTCAACCCAGAAGCATCGAGAGAGTTGCGTGTTTATTTTTTCCACCTCAGACTCACTCCAATTTTCCTTTTTTTTTGTCACTTTCAGCTAACGGTGGGTGGTATGGGTGGATATTGGGTGTATTTTGGATGTATGTTTCCCAAAAAAAAAGGAGGAGAAGAATAAGAGTGTATTAAAGAAACATCTGGCAGACCGCCCCCAAGGCAACGCCTTTTTCCTTCGTCCTGCTTAAATTTAATTTAAAGGCTCAAGCGGAGGACAAGCCATTGCAAACAAAATCGGGGGCGTTGGCCCTATTTATGGGCGTGGCTGCAGCGGCATTGACACAACATTGAGCATCAGAAATTAGCGTGACCGAGCCTTAATTGTGGACCAAATTTTGGGGGGGGAGGCCTTTGTTGGGCGAGTTGGGCCTCGTAAGGACGGCTTGAGATTTAGTGTAAACAGGCAGCAAGTCAGGGGCCAGTCGGAAGTTTGCTCAGACCACTCCGGGGTGGCATCAAGGGGTTAAGGCCTTTGCTGAACCCCCCGAAGGACCTTTGTCAGATTTAAACACTTTCGGACACTTGAGCTTGGCCCCCGAATATTGAGACTTCACTTTAAATTAACATAATTTCTCCTTTTCTATGTTCGAATTCCTTTTATATTTCCTGTGTTAGCCCAAGACCCTTCGATCGTAATAGAAAATAATGCGCTTTGTATTTCGACCCGTTGATGATTATTATAAGTTTCGTTTCGGTCGCACTTTTTATTGCTTAACCTGGGTTCCTCCATTAACCGAAATGAGTGCAATTCAAAATAATATCCAAAGGACCCAACTGGGATGACACTTTTGGACGGAAACCAGAAACTTTGCCTCCCAGCAGGACATTGCCGTTGATTGTTTTGCAAAAGATTTTCTGATTCTGATTCGCACCCGGGATTTTTCCGGCCTTCGTATGGGGATTCCCGTTCATTGGGAACTTTTTTTTGGGGGGATGATAGGGGGGGGCAACAAAAATCATAAATCTTTTTAATTTCATTGATCAAGTTTGGCCGGCAAAAAGTTTTCGGCCTGCCCCAAAGGAAAGTTTCGCACTCGACTCCCTTAGGATATATTTTGCCTGACATTTAAATCGATGGCAGATAAATATTAAACTTAAACTTCCAATTCATTGCTGCAAAATTATGTGTTGCTTGAGCTGCTGGATTTTGCTTTTTGTTCGCTTGATGGAGCAGCAATAAAAAATCATATTTAATGGGGAACAACATCTCCGCAGGGGTTACAGGAAAACATGGCGGAACCGGAAAATAAATAAATGCCATCGAATAAACAATGGCCGAATGGCGATTGGGTATAGTTGTGGCTCCTATGCTCCCGATAAGGAAGCTTATAAATTGAAACAAAGTGGACAGTGATTGCAAAAATTAATGGGCCATGCAGTCTGACCCGAAAAAGTAACTTTCCCAGGGATACTTACAAGGTTAAAGTGCGGTAAAAGATGAGGAAAAGCTTTGCCCCTTCTGGAAGTTTTAAGCCCTAAGTTCATACCTCTACCAAACTATTTTGTAAAATATTTTTAAGGGTAAATTAATTATCTAAATCATTGTATTAACAAGAATTAAATACAACCTGCATCTTCAAAATAAGTCCCATCATTAGTTTTCAAGAAAAACTGGTCAACTTTTTATGAACATGCCACATCCCGTCGCATGAAAACCCTGATTTCCCGGCTCGTGCAGCACAACAGCTTTACATATTCTCACTCGTTAATAACTTTTCATGTTGTAGCAGAACAGCATCCTCGCTGTGTTCCTGTAAATAACTTCTGAGAAAATGTTTGCGGAGTAAGGAAAACTTTTCGATTGTGGCAATCGTTCCTTGGGCGCAAGCCCACGTGCATTCAGTACCTTCGATTGCGGAATTGATTTAAGAACTTCAAAAGGAAAGCAGGGCAAAAATGTGTAATGAAAACGGTGATTTTCTTTTCAAGCACCTAACGGAAAACTATTAACAGCTGGAGTATACCGCTCGGCATGAGTAACGCAATAAGTCCAATGGAAGCGATTGAAAAGGACTCAGTCTGGACGCAATCTCTCCATTCAAAAGGGATTTAATATATACAATATTCACAATGAGAATGAGCCTGTTTTTTTCTTAAATCATTTTTCGCATCGTTTAAAAGGCATTTTCATGGCGTCCTTTTACGAGTTGGCTCTCTCATTTAAGAAATATTTAATATCAAGAAAATGAATAATAAATGCAATTTGCAGTTAGCTCTATTTCTTGTTTTGCTGCCACCACCGCCATTGCCGCCGCCTTACTTATGATGAGTCTTTGTCCTCCAATGGCCCAGTCAGAGAATTAATTACGCTGCTGAAAGTTGATCCCCAGCATAGATGGTGAATGCGGATACGGATGCGGATGCGGAAGCCCTTGTGCCAATGCGACCACAACTGACCCAGTTGTTTAATTGAATTGAAGCCATAAACACTTTGGAGTAGAACCACCAACACAGTCGCACACAGAGCGAGGAGTGAGCGCGTCGGGAATGAAAAATGGCCACGGCCAGGAGCTCTCCCTAAATAACTTTAATTAGTAGTGCGAATGCGGCCATCAATCACCTTTGCCCGTTTCCAGGATACAGAGAGAGAGAGAGAGCCAGCGGAAACGGAAATGGCAAGCGGAAACGCCAGCGGAAGCCACGTGGCCATTGCTAAGCATTTTGACAGCTGTGCCTGTCGCTTATGCAACAAAGCACACGCTCACAGGCTTGTGCAGTGTCCCGAAAAGTAACGATCTGAGTTTGGTAATGAAAGTTGTAAGTTAGGATTTACATATGTTAAAGACTTAGGTTTTTATCTCAGCTTAAACTTACTTACTACTTTTAAGGTATTTTTAATGTATTAAAATATTAATTCATAGAAAATGTTTTCAAATATAAAAGCTCTTTATTTGAGAGCTTAGTTTAAGGATTATTTAGGAGATTTAAAAACAACAAAACCGAAGTTTCCTAAATCTATTTTATTCATAAGATTGCATACATTTTTACTTAAATCCAAGACTTAACTTTTTCACAGATTTTCATATTCCTTTCTTGAGCAGATCTTACTTATATTTTTTCTTTGTGCATCCATGCATTCCGATGTCTACCAGGAATTAAAAATGAAACTAAGAAAGCAAAGAATTAATCAAATTGCAAATTTCATCAGAATGAATGGAATAAAAAGAAGGAAGCGAAAACGCAGATGTGGCGAACGGAGGAGCTGCTGGCTTGCTGGCTTTTTCAGCGAGTGCCAGGCAAAGTTGTTGACATCTTCTGAGCCAACACGTACCGCCAGCACCAACAAAAACACACACACAAACACACAAAAAGTAGTAAACACTTGACGGGAGCAGCGGCAACAACAACACGAACAAACACAGTGGCACACTAGTGGCAAAGAGAAAGAAGGACCAGAACTGGAGCTACAGCAAATGTTTGCTTAAAAATGATGCGAACCCCACGAGAAGAAGTGGAATTTTGGGATGGAATGGGATGGTATGGTTTTTGGATGGGGATTGCGGATGCTTCTTCTGCTCCTGACAGATGCAAGACGCGTTGACAGTGACAAAGACAATGATGACGACGATGGTTATGTTGGGGCTCATCATCATGGCTGATGTGGGAATGAAGTGGTGGCGGTGCTGGTGATGGAAACGAAGACGGAGGCCAGGCCAGCATTTGGCATAATCCTGCTGACAAAATGTCATTACACCATCTACATAGCAAAGTTGCCTTTTGAAGTTTTCCCGTACAAAAGGGGGCAATGCAAGCTTAAATAAATAAATACACTACCCGCTGTCAGCGAAAGTTCATACGGTTAGCATGCCTGTATATTTCCATATTAAGTGAACAGAAGTTTTCAGGAAATATTTGTGCAAATTACAGTCATATTTGAGTAACACTAAAAGAATCTAGCAGTTCTTTCTTAACTTTTATTAAAAAAATTGTGGAATTTAGTTATTATTAATTTGAAGTTTTCTCTATTGGTACTTTTAGTTCACTTACTTAAGGTAAGAAAACTTTTAACTAATAAAATAAATAATAAAATAACGATAAAAAGATATCAAAAATAACCAAAATAAAGTGTACAAAAATTCAATTTGTATCAATATTTATAGATATTTATAGACATACTTCCGGCGCTGTTGACTTACCACAAATTTCTGTGACTAGTCCTTGTTCCGGAGTCTGTTTCGGCTACAGTTATTCCACTTTTCCCCAAGAATCGGCAGTCACGCGAGTGACTGAGTCATTGACAAATGGCCAGGGAGCTGCGCTGCTATTGTTTTATATTTTTATTTTATTTTATTTTACTTCTCTACGTTTTACTGAGCACTTTTCTTTTAGCTGTTTTCCCCCGCTTCCACGCGAATTGGCCTAGTTTTGTAGTCTGGTATTTGGATTCGGTGTTGTTTTTCGGTTCGGTTTTCCGTGTGTTTCGTAGGCCTGCAGTTTTGAGTTACTTGGCACTTGTCTAATGCCTTTGTCTGCCTTTCTTTTGCTTTTCTTATGCTTTTATCATACTTTTCTGCCAGACGGGCGACGCAGTGTCTTTGCTTGCACTTGAGTAACCGTTATCTAGGATGGTGTGCTAGTGAATGTGTGTGTGAGTGTATATTTTGTGCGGTTGAATTAGCGAGTGAGACACGAACTTTTGACCCCGTTTCGACAATAACAACACGAGAAGAGCGGAGGCTTGGCTTCTATTCTCCGGCTTTTTGAACCACTGGCCGGCTTTTTGGCTTTTCAACACTGAATACGTTTATAGTTATGTCCGTTACTGTTTTTGGGGCTACTATGGTAAGCTTGAATAAGAGGTTTTTTTGGAGTGGCTTCCCTGTTATTGATTTAGCAGGGCGTTATTGCTGGAATAAAAATAAACTACAGCCATTTTCCTTTTGATTTGTTTTGCCAATCAATTTTCTTCCTTTTAGTAGAATTACCGTTAAGAACTTTTCATTATTTTCATTTTTATTTGATCAGCACACTCAATGAATGTTACAAATCGGTTAAATTTATTGTTTTTCCGGCTTGTTTATTGATTTGGAATAACGTTATTGCACGAATAATAATAAATTGCAGTCATTTCCGAATCGTTTTTATTTTTGTAGCCAATCAGGAGTTACTTTAAAAACACTTTTCTCTTCTACTACCGAAAAAAGAGCGGAATTACCGTTAAGGCTTTTTAGCACTTTTCACTATTATGGCTAAAGTTTCGGTTTGGGTTTTGCGCACGTTTTACGTAGCTAGCCGATAACTGATAAAACATCCGTTTACATGACGTTTTTGCTCAGCCAGCGCCTCACGAACTGAACTCAAAAAACTTGGAAAATACGCGAAAAGCCAGCATCTCGGCTCAGCTGTGATTGCGGTACATTCGCTCTCGCGCCTTCTCTCTCTTTGGCGCCATCCGGAAAAGTACCGTTCTCCACGTGTCGGCCGAACAGCTGTTGCCGCAGATGTTTCACTAAGCATGCGCAAACGGAGCTGTCGTGAAAAACTGGGAAATATTTAAAGCTTTGTGACTGGAAAATCTTTGAATTGGGAACAGTTTTTGCTCAACCATAAAGGTTTTTCCACCAACACGTCACCTACAACTTAAAAACCTACCGAAATTGGACCCAAAAAGTTGGCGCGAAAGTCAACACTTCGCACATAAAGGCATCTTTCCGCTTGGCCAACTTTTCGGGCCAACAAACTTTTCACATTACAAAAGGTCCACATTTTTTAACCCACATTTGGCATCAATTTGCCCATTACATAGGGCTAAGGGACCTCTATCGCTCTGATGAGAAGGGGTGACATTTTGAAATAATTTTGAAATTCAAAATTAATTTACCGAAGGTAAATTACAAGTTTTTTTTTAACCATACTTAACCAACCTTTTTAAAACAACTGATTTTTTGTCATTACTTCTGTTTAATTTTAGTTACGTTTTATATGTTAATTAATTACAAAACCCTATGCATAAAAATGCAAAAAAACGTCGAAACCCGCATGAGCCTGCAGCGTAAGTGTTCAGCAACAATGGCCATCATGACCGCTATGGTTGTGCGAATGACCATGACCACTAGATCTGTGAGCCGCCTTGTCCTCTTCCTCGCCCGCCTGCTTCGAAGCCTTGGCTTGATCCTCGTCGGCAAACTCGCTGAGGTCACGACGCATAGCGTAGGCATCTTCGCCATCGGCATAGTACTTGGGCTCCACCTCAATGATCTTAAACTTGAGGGCGTTGGTGTACAGGTTCAGGGCAGCCCGATTGCTCTTTCTTACGTGAAGGGACACGTACTGAGCATTGAAACACTCGACCATGGCCTGGGAGGCCTGGTCCATCAGCTTCTGGGCCAAACCCAATCGACGATAGGAACGCTTTACTGCTAAAGAGGTAATATGCCCATGACGACTCTCCTCATTCGGCTCGGGCTCCTCCATTTTGGCCAACACATAGCCCACAATACCGCCCTTGTCGTCCTCGGCCACGTAACTAAGCTGAGGCCATGTGAGTCCATGGTAAAAGTAATATTTCATCTGATAGTTTTCAGGCAAGCAGAGCAAATTGCAGTGCTGCATGGTCATAAGGTCCTCCGGTTTTGCGCAGCGGATGTTCATGGTTGGGCTGTGGTTATTTGATCTCCTTTTCGCTTAACTGACTCTTAATCTCGGCGAGCTTTCCTAGCTCTACCGTGCTGCTGTCGGTGAATATTCTGATGATCCCAAGCGATTTGCTGCTGCTCCTCTGGCTCCTCTTGACCCAACAGTTCCCGAACCAAACGAAATTTCGATAGAAAAGCCTTCCAGATAAGGAACCAGCCTGCAAAACAAAGAGAAATCAAATTTTTAGATGAGTTGTTGTTCGGGGTAATGAAATTCGACTCCAAGATAGCATGATCGTCTGCGGGCGCCTGCTTACCCAACAAAATAATTGCTGCGACGATGCTAACAGAGGCTAATATGGTGAAAATGAAAACCAAGCCCGTTTGCAGGGACATTCTAACGGGTTAGCTCGAAATCAGGAAACTATAAACATTAAACTATAAGTTGATTATGAAATAATAACATTAAACTACTAGTAAAAAGTTTTGCTTTAAGTCTCTGCCAGTCATTTAAATATTTCTTCACCGATTTTCATGAATTGCTGACTATCACAATAAAAAACAGCTGTAATTAAAGTGTGACCGTTTGTCAGTACTGACAAATAACAGGGCTCCAACTTTGCAACAAAAAGCTAAATTTTGATATATAGGAAAAATTTAACAAAAAACACCGAGTAATAAGTTGAGAGTTTAATGAGTTAATTGGTAACTTTCTAATAGCCAGAAATGTTTTCTTGGTTTCACTTTTATTTAAAAAGTTTGCACCTCTTGTAACTTATGATGCCACCAAAGAGCACATGAGGTTAGAAATTTCACAAAGCAGTCTGCACAAACTGCTTTTGATTTGTAAACTATAATAGGTCATTATTAGCGACTCGCTAAGAATACATATTGTTCCACATTTGACTTAGTTTTATTTAATATCCACCTTGCTGTTTAATTTATTTATATTCGCGAACGAGCACACTTCTTGCACACCGGCACCAGTATAACCAAGTTCGTTGAAGGAGAAAATACCACACATATACCGATCATAATTTGGCCTTAATACTGTATGGTTTTGAATTCTCATTGAAAAATTCTAAATTATCATTTTTAGTTTAAAGATATGAAAAAATATGAGGTCTTTCATTCTTTTTTTTTTAATTAAATTAAATCTTACCAAATTGTCATTTTTCAACAAAAAACAAAAATATACCAACAGTTAGATGTACTAAAAATACCGCTTTTGATGTATGCATGCTAGAACAGCTGTTCGACTAAAAACCATTTACCTGGGCAAACATAAAGCGATTAATGCAATAAACAAAACTAAAATGCAGGAATTTTCGGCTAAGCGTGACGCATTGTTCGCATGCCTCGATGATGCAAGCAAAGAACTGAGGGGGACTGCCTTGGATCAGAGCAAGGCCAAGTCGTTTTCCATCAACGCTCTCGATCGGGGAAACAAATCCGGAAATGGGTCCGGATCCGGACAGGTGATGAACTACCGCCACGGCCGTAGCATTGATGTTGGCCTCGATTCGGAGGATGGCAGATTACGGCGAATGCGGGGAAAAGAGAGCATTTTCAAAAAGCCCGAACTTCCCATTGGTCGCTGTCTGAAGCCGAGGAAAACTCCAGATTACCAGGTGAAATACATATATCCTCTATTGCAGTTCAGGTTCTTACTTAAGTAATTCCTTATCCATTTGATAGGTAAACCCCCACAAATGGAAGAAGTATTCCCTGTCCGATGTCGACATTTCGGATCAGAGCAATTCCGCCGCCGCCCTATCTTTTCTCCGGCAAATGGATGCACAGCGTGAAGCTGAAGGAGATCATGACTCCCATCATTCAGATGGAAAAATAGAGTTCAAGAAAACCAGCAAGCTCAATCGAAATCTCAAAAACCTCAAACAACAGGAGATGGAGGATGTGGAGCTGGATAAACCACAGTTAAGAGGCTCCAAACTGGTGATGCCCGAGTATGTGATTGGCCAAAAGTCACAGAAACAAAAGAAATCCAAGGCCAAATCGAACCAAAGTCGTGCCACTGGTAAGCTACAACTCTCTCACTTGGCAGAGGAAGATGAACAGGATGAATAGGTTATAACTTATATTCCTAGGATTACATAATAAGTGCACCATAAAATTTTAAGAATGTAGATATACTTTTACTCTTTGTTTATTTTGTAAATTTAATACAAACTCTAAAATCAGACTGGAAAACTGCTTAACATTTTGCTTAATAGTTCGATTTCTTAAATCTGGCTGTGTATATATACTGGAATTGCTGTTTTATATATCTCTTAATTTTTGTTCTTAAATTTGTGGCAATTATCACATAGAAAGACTTAAATTCGAAGACCGAATAGGAGTATTGAGTTGAGCACACATATATAGCACGCGAGAACAAATTGACATAAATGCGACGATAGAAACACTAAAATACGGTATTAAAAAATGCAAATATTTGGTCGGGAATGATTTCATCTTAGTCAGTGGCTAATGGGTCTACTCTCTGTAGAATCCGGGGTTGAAGTAGAGTTTCTTGTTGAAGCCAAGATTTTCATAGGCGCCCGTCTGCATGGAACCTTTTTTGGTGCGCATGATGCCCACGGAGGCGTTCGTCTTCTTAAGGATATCCTCAAAATTTGTGTTGTGGGCATGCTCGGCCATTATGTCGCAGAACTTCTGAATGTACCAGCTACCCGTCTCGGGATCCCTGTGAGTAACAAAGCCCGGTGTATTGGCATAGCAGACGAGAGTGTCCGCCAGAGTTGGCACATTTACGGTAACGTTGGATACACCCTCCGTTTCGATCTCAGGCGTCTCCTCTTCATGCAACATAGCCAATGTGTTCGAAGGACTCATAGCATGTTGTCCCAAATCGTGATGATCACCGCGGCAAAAAGGGAAGAGTAGCACCTTTGGCTTATGCACCAAAAACGGACTAATATTGGCCTGGAAATGATTCTTGATCGTTTGCATATCGACCACGGATCCATCGAAAAACTCCACCTTATCAACTTGGCGGACACGGCTGCCGTGTGTCATCAATGCCATTACGAAACACTCGGTTTTCTGCGCATACTCTGAGGAGGTGAGCTTCTTCAGAATGTCAAAGAACTGATGCTGACTTAGATTTTCGAAGGCAAAAATGGTAAAGCCCAAGTCGTGGTATAATTGGATCAGCGAGTCGCTGTCCATATCGGCACCATTTCGTTTGCGCTTGGGATCGGGGAAATCAACAATATTCACCATAAACAAAATACCGCGGTTGAAACGGGATTGCATTTTATATGTGCCCACATTATCATCCGTGTAAATCTTGTCCGATTTATTCACCAAACGACGGGGTTTAACGTCGGGATTCTCGTAAGGTATGAGCTCTCCAAGCAGTTCGTCCGAGGTCTTCTAAAAAATGCAATGGGAAAGAAGATAGAAAAGATAGGGAATGATTAATTTTTAGTTTCTGAAGAGGTCTCATTATATACTATATACTCTGTTCTGTAATTCGATTACTACGCCATAAAGTGAATAATTCGTTAGATTCTTGAATTTAAAATGCAATTTAAAAGCTTCCCAGTCAACAGGTACATCCTACTAAGTGGTAAAGAAGCCCTTAATTTACTTGATAGGTAAGTCACTAGATAGTATCACTAAACCGCTTACATTCCTAGTCAGTTTATAGGAAGCAAAAGTTATTATTTCGTGATAAACACCAAAGTTGGCTAGGTCTGTTTATTTATTAGCAAGCTTTCATAATTTTGATCTATAAATAAACCTAATAAAATGTGCTAATTGAAAAAGGTGTCATTTACTCTTGATTATGTTCACTTAAGAACCAAATATGATGGCATGACTCTTTTGGCAAACATTGTCTTAGGACAGAACTAAATCTTTAACTCTTTTCCTAGCATTATTAACAAATATTATAATATTCTTCAAAATTTGAAACAGATTGAAAAGTCTGACACTTCACTGATAAGCATGTATGTACTTTATATAAAAACAGTGCATGAACTGACGAAGCACACCGGAAGTGCACGTACAAACAAAGATGATTCCATGATTCAGGAGAAATGTTATCGAGCTATTTTATTGCTTCCTAAACCACTCCACATTATCTAGAATGAAAATATATGTTTGGAGTCGCAAACGTGAAATCATATCATATTTTGCCCTAAATGTATTAACAAAACTACACATGACCATAATAAGCTTGTGAAATTGAACAAAAACCAGTTTTTTAGAATATTCGGTTCAATAACCTACTTCGCTACAATTTCACCATTAGGCTTTTCTGAACAACATGAAAGTTTAAAAAAAACATTATTTTACATTGAAAACCTAAGGAGCTCACCTTGCTAAAACAGGGTCCTTCCAATGACGGGGTGTCCACAATATCTGCCGACCTGCGACTGCCCCTTATTGAGATTATGGGTGGCCTTGAAGGGGAATCATCAACCGATTCTAATAGCTTAGCCGCATCCAAACAGTTAATTTCTTGCAGGGCTGTTATCAATTGGTTGTAGGCAGTGGGACCCCGCTTGGTGATCTTTATGAACAGCCGACGATGATTCTCCAAACTCACATCATCGTCGGCCATGTTAAATTGTCGACCCTTTAGATCCTCGATATTTCTTAACATCTGATTGGACAAGATCTTCAATCGGACGCATTTGGCAGCCAGAAGACCGTAATTAGTCGTTTTAACCAACACATTTAGATTTTTCAGAATGTGCTCCCGATGCTTATTCAGCATTCCAATCTCGTTCTCCGACGACTGCATTCCGGATATAATTTTGTTTTACGTTTTTGGCAACTCCAAGGATATGTGTAAAGGCAGTGATCAATTTCCAATTGGCAGTGAGTCACCTCAAGGTTTTTCCGTAAACTGACTTCGTTTCGCGCTCGATTTGTTCTTTTCTTTGTCTCCGCTTTTTGTCGTCTTAGTATTTGTTTTTGTTCTTTTTCTTGTTTTCTGTTGGCAACAACAACAACAGCAAAAAGAATCGACGACCCTGGCAGTGTATCCTTATTTTTCCAAAAGCAAATTACCTAGTCTACATATATATTGCACTAGAAGATCCCGTCCAGGATCAGAGATCTTCGAATAAGATTTCTTTTGAAACAAAAGGATTTCTGGGCTCTTCACGCAGCCACACAGCGCGTTCGTTCTCAACTCGCCACTAATCAAAATTTTTTTAACTGTGGGTTTTGGTGTGACTGCTGCGAGGTAGACCATTAAGCCACAAAACGCGAACTCCAAATATACCTCAAATATACTGCAAATATATTTGTGATCAACATGGAGCAAAACTGCTACATTTTCTTCTGTAAAATCTGAATACAAAAGATTATTGCAAATAAAAAACTTTGTAATATATAAATGTGTAATTATCCAAATGAAAAACGTTAGGTGTGTTCAGTTCAATACAAAAAATTGTACAAGGCGCCATTGAATAAATGGCATTTAAAGATTATTACAAAAAGTGGGTTTCTTTTAAATATATGCTTTGGAATACTAATAAATACGATGTGAAATATTTATTTTTAATTTTGAAAATCACTGTATACAAAAAAATACCGCAACTTGTTCTTCAGGTAAAAATACTACGGCCACCCTAATATTTGTACAACAAAAACTCGCGCAATTTGCAAAACATAAACAAAGGTCATGGAGGAAAACCAATCAAAGCCGGAAACAAAGGCACCTGTGCCGAAAAACGCAGCTAAAAATGGAAAATTATCACGAGACTGCAAGCTGAAGGTTCAAAGGAGTTTAAACAGAATGGGCTACTCGCAAGCAATCCTGCTAGAAGCATCCAAATACAACAATCAAAACTACACAAATGAAGTATTTCGTAAGTCTAATAATTATAATAAGTAGAAAACTTGTTCACAATTTATAAATTATATCCTTTTTAGACTATGTAACCGACGCTATCGCCAAAGGCGAGGAAATGGTGAAAAATCGCGACTCTGTCAGCCTGAATAACATCACCCAGTGGCTGGAACTGATGAATAGTGCCCAACTTTCTGATTTTTGTGAATTCGAGGCAGCTGCTACTGTTAATTCCATAATCCAGAACGAGACAAAGCCTTCGCCAAAGGAGTTACATGGCATTGACTTGAAGTAAGAATAACTTTCATTCTATTAAAATTTCCAAACAATACTTATCCTTTTATTATTAACCCGTTTCAGCGAAGCTTATAAATTTGTTGAAAATGCTTTGATGGGCCAGCCGCAGAAGAAGCTAAGTGATACCACCAAGGCGTTTCTGTGCAGGGAAATCGAGGTGAGTAGAAAGCACCTCCCATCAAAAGATGATCCTAACTAAAAATCTGCTTAACAAATAGCTTCTTATAGCGGACGCCAACACGGACGAGTCAGATGATGTGGCCCGCAGCATGGGACAGTGTCTATGTAACCATCAGATCTTAGACTATATGGAACAGCCGAACAAATGCAGCTTAGATCCGCTTTTTCTGGATGAAAAGCCAACGCAGGGATTAGAAAGTTAATAAAAATTAAGGCATTTGTATCATTTCCACACATTTATTAAACATTTAAATTCAATTTTGTTTTGTTTTTATATACGTACATTGTCACATGCATTTTGCACTTTTCCATCTTATCAATCAACCATCGATCCCACTTTTATACATTAAAGTATTACTATGCCGAATGCCCCAACCGTTTTGTACGTATTAATATTCGATAATTACACTCATAATTAAGTACTTGACTATAAACAGTTTTAGCACATTTAAAATCTAGAATTCCTTTAGTTGTACACAATTACTTCAAGTAGTGTAAGTACGAGTATAAGAAAAAGTTTAAGGTTAAGGGTCTTTTGGCCTTGGATTCTCTCAATTGCATAACATTTATTGTGCATGATTGTTTTCAATAGTTGTTGGTTGCCAATTTGCATTGCATAGACTAGAGTATATAGAGATAGGTAGTTTAGTTCCTTTGGTTTTTGCTTCGATTAGCTTTGTTTTAAACTTTAAGAGGCATAAAAACAGTTGAGTGCTGCTTGACTCCCATAGCATCACAATAGAATCACAAGAGACAGAGTTGGCTTTTCATTTCAATTTCGTAATAGGTTCTAGGATGTCACACTTACAATAACATAACGTACATACGATCAGAGTTATACATACAAATTGTTCGAATACAAATATAATATACCCTTTAATATTAACCGTAGTTACTCTCATTTAAAACGATCTTCACACAATCAAATGCAATTCAATAATGTACATAATATAATTCTTAAATGTTCAGTCCAGTTTGAGCTTTTGGTTTTCCCCTTTTTCATTTATCATTTTTTTGCTTTTTGTTTTTTGTTTCTTTTTTTCGTTTTTTGGTTTTGTTTAGTTTGTGTGTCCTCTCACGTAAACATTAATTTAAAATTAAGTAAATCTAATTATGTATACGTACGATTAAACGCTAGTAAACCATAACGATATGCCTTGTCTAAGATCGCAAAACGTAACCAAATATTAAACGAAAAACTTCAGAATGAACAAAATGCAAAGCAAAGATTCAGGTGCATGGCAAGGATATGCTGGAGTTTTCAGGATTTATCTTCAAGGTGGCATTAAAACCAAATGCAGATCCAACGGATCGAACAAACACAACGACAACAAATGTAACATAAACTATATAAAGATATTACTTTTGGAAATTCGTATTTTTTATAGAATTAATGTCGGTTCAATTTTGATTGTCCCGTTCCCGTTCGTGTTTTATTCAGAGCATTATAGATCATATGTATGTGTATATAAAGTAGGTTTTAGCGTGTCCTAGGTAGAGTTCGTCTTGCTTCTTGCTTGTATACATATATAAATTCATATTTGGTTTTAGTTTTTTTTTTTCATTTCTACTCCTCTAAACATACCACAACAATGATAATCGCTTTAATTGCCGTTTTTGTTACTTTATGAATACATTTATGACGTCTTCACTATATAAATTTTCAAGAGTTTACAATATACCAGATACCACACACTAAAACGCATATATATAGCTGCCCAATTATACAAATTGACTATAAATTTTGAGATTTGAGATGTTTGCCTTCAGGAACATCGGCTGCAATAATGATTCTGGTTCTATTTTGGATCGGTAGTTAGTGGATCGGTGGACCTTGGTTTGGTTTCGTGTGTATTCACCTTAGTAGTAGTTTTGGGTGTGGTTTGCATAGATATTCCGGTTGAACAGAGTAGAGTGTATATATAATGGATTGAATGATGGGAAATATATATATAGATATATGTAATTCATCACTGTAAAGCGCAGGCGGGAACCCCTCGAGGTTCTTGGCTAAAAATAAACTTCTCTTTCATGGTTATTTATATTCATTATTTTTCGTTTTTTTTTTTTTTTTTGATTGCGTTTGCTGTAAAGCTCTGTGATAAGTTTGATTTTTATGGTGCTAGGTACGATGTAGGTACACGATTTCCTCTTATTTGATTGCATATTTGTATCCGAGATAGCGATATGGTTGATGTTGGCAAAATAAATCAATAATTCACAATGATATGAGTTTCTTATTTATGAATTAAATGAAAATATAATTTGCATGATTTCTATGACACATAGAGGTATATTTGACATGTATCTTGGCCTAGCGTAAAACATTCATAATAAATATATAATGTATTCAAGAATAGTTAGGGTTTCTATGAACTGATTGCATTCTGCATAGTGTATTTTGGTTTTAAGTTTTTTTTTTTTTGGATCGTGTATTTCATTGTGATTGCTGGATTGTGTTTGACACTTTTGTTGTTTGAATAAATTACAATTAATTTGTGATTATTATGTCGCATTGGTCACATCGAATTGGTTTGGCTAACAACATTTAGAGATTCGACTGAAATTACTTAGTTAAGCTTGCGGTTCGCTTTCGGGTAGACGTTTACAATGTTATATATTTTTATGTTTTATACCGCTAATATATATAAGTTGATTACTGGTGTTTCATAAATGGACCGAAATTGCATTGAAAAGTAATTGGATTCTTTTGAATGTATTTATCTGTTTAGTTACGTCCGGAGAATAGTTGATACTGTAATAGAGTTGTTGCAAGATAATTAGGCCATCAATCTGGTTGTTTCGGTATCAAACTTTTTTGTTTTATTTCAAAATACATATACTATGGTGGGTATTATCTAGCTACTGGGCAAATATGTTTGGGAACTGCTGAAGCTACTTGGCAACGAAGTATCTCGCACTCCGTTTACGGATATTACGTATATTTTTACGGGAATTACGATTATTACGGGAAAACACCAAAATATTTGGAGACAAGAAGAGAGAGAGAGAGAAAGGGTCACACACAATATATTGTTATTATAAAGATATATATATATTTATTATATGGATTAGCAAAAAAGGTGGGACAAACATCGGGATCGGTTGTCATGCATCGCTTCGATTTTCGGTTCGGGTTTTGGTTCCTATTTCTGGGTTATTCCGGTGTAGAGTTTCTGAGGGATCTGGTATATTGGGTTCAACTGGTTACGCAATGCAAACTACGAACATATATAGTATATATCTAGGGCCAACGACTTACTGCTATGGAGGTGTAAGATATGTGTCTTGTGTGTTGGATTACCACCGGATATGTGGGTGACTCTACAAAACTACTACTAAGGTACATTTGTGGATGAGTGTGGGTATAATCGGGAAGGAGTTTCCATCGGGAGTGACCTCTCACCTCCGGTTGACTTACGTTCAAGCCGAGCATTGCTTGTCTAGGTATCGCGGTAGCTACTCTTTACTCGATCTCATCAAAGTTAGTTTTAGTATATTCTTAAAGATTTGTCGCACAATCTACGCACTAAGCACTTGGAATGCGAGAACCTTTGAACTCTTAAGGCACATTTCGAAGTATAATGATAAGTAATCATAAGTACGGCAAAAAGCAAATAATAATTGAAAATGCATAAGCGGGGGGGTTGGGGTGTCAGTTTGGGGTTAATTAAAGGTCAAAAGCAACACTGATTGTGCAATAGCCAAGTATACATTTAACAGTTACAATAAATTCGCAATGACTTAATCGTAGTTTGAGTAAAATACAATACAAATGCATATAAACATCTGATAAGTCGGTTAACAGATTCATATAGTTCAGATCGATATATATGTATATATAGGTATGCAAGATAGCAGGTATAGCAGCCTTCTGAAGCCTTCAGTGTCAGTCAATCAATCAAGTTTACACATATATATATATTTAACAATATATCCATGATCAGCAGTTTAGTTCGATTCGTTAATCAGCTTGAGTTTTCACTTCGTCTTTTTCGGTATAACTCATTTTCAGTTGTTGTATTTCCAGAGTATATATATATATATATATATATTTATATATATATAGTGCAGTTCAGATGGGCAGAAAGTAAAATGGCAAGTCAAGTAGTACAGATACATTCATAATGCCATGACACTCAGTAAGAACACCACAAAAATATATTACAGCTGCGTGAAAATGCAGAAGGAACGGGAAAAACCAAAAATATTTGCAGGCGCATGCAATGGAACGGGTTTCTGTTTTTTTTAAATATTATTTCATCTTTTCTCTCTTAGAGTTTAAGCTTTAGAAAAAGCATCTCTTTCACCTATGATTCAGCATATATTTATCTTTGTATTCCTGTGAAACCTAAAGTTTAAGGGCTATCCTGTGAGAAATTTAAGTTATCATGCAATTTCATTTTACATTCATTACTTTTGGTTGGGAAAGTTGGAACTTTCTTAATTAGGAATATAGTATAGATTTAAGCTTTTCAAGAATTAAAATTTGAATAAATTTGAACTTTAAGATAAGCCGCAAACATTGGAAAAATATCTTCCAAAGGGATAAATCCTCAACAAGTCAATTTTAAAACCATGCACAAGGAATTTTGAAAAAACATTTTTAAATATTTATAAAAATTAAAAAAAAAAATAAAATAAAAACCAATATACCTCAATTACCCCAATTTCCATGAACTTAGGTGTGCTAGCTTAGAGTACTTTGCTAATGGTAACTATCCTAAAATATCGTTTAACTCCAAGTCGCACTAACTAACTCGTAAGAGCTGGAATAATGCCAGCTAATCCGACATAAATCCGGTGAATTAATGGTGCAGGTGCTTAGGCTAGACTAGCTGGTAATGTGGGCTTTAACAATAACAACACTATCGTGGGATTTACAAGCACGATTATCAGGACGACAAGGATAAAGGATACACGTTCCTCACATAAACACAGACACACACACACGTGTAGCGGTGGCCATAGTGTTGGTATGTGTGGATGGGAAATTCTAGGGATTCCTTAAATTTTGATTTTCCAATAACTAATTGAATTTGACGATTCACACAGTCGTTATATACTTTTTTTCTCTGAATTTTTGATTTGTTTGTTTTTTGTGGGCAGGGATTTAAAATCGATTGGAATGGCAACAACTAAGATAGTTAATAATATCAATCAATAATAAAGATAAACAGTAGTTAGTAGTATCCAATTTTGGGCTATGTGCTGGATAACTTTGTTACGATTTTCAGATATTTCTCAACATTAACACTTATGGTACATACAAATACAGGACTTGAATAAATTCCCAAAAAAGAAAATAAGACAACAGTTGTGTGTGTTTTCGATCTATTAGTATGCATATACATAAATATTTGATTGATAGTTCGTTTTCTGGTATTAGTTTAGTATCAAGTTTTTTAATGTAAGTATTACGTATGGCTAGGCTATAGTAGGTCTCACATAGGTACGATCATTCATTGATTTTGGCATATATATTTGATTTTGCTACATTTTACCCTCTGCCCCTCTTGCATAATATCATCTCCATTTGGTTTGATTTCGTTTACTATATATATATATATAGTTTTGATCTGATTGTTTTCGTTTACTCTGAGACTCTGAAATTAAAAGTTCCTTGGCGGATTGAGATTGAGATTCATGCTCCGCAGCTTGGCCTTGTAACGTACATTGTTGAGGCTCTGATTGAAATTTAGGCCATAATTATTTGGGCCGTAATTGTAGCCGGAATTGTAATTGCTGGTGCTGGCTGTACCGTATCTGCTGGAATCGGCGTTGGCCGTAGCCTCACCGATTTCGTTCAGATCGTATTATTGACTGAATGTGATATTGAGTGACGGACACTTTCGGACGTTGCTGTGGCTGTTTCGTGTGCCATTTACCCGCAACAGCGGCACCGGGCTAACCGTGCCAGATACGGAAGTTAATTGTCTTACCATGCCGGATCCCAATTGCTGCAATAGCCCCGATCCGGAGCCAAGTGGACCCGATGACAGGACGGTTGACTGGCGACGTGACCTTATCGATTGCATACTCGAAGATAGCAGGAATGGTACACTGCTCGAGGTGTTCGGCATGGAGCCACCCTGTTTTTGGGAGTACAATAAAGGAGATTTCTTTGGAAGATTAGTCGGGGCTTGTCAATGGTAATATCAATATATCATAGTTGGATGCTTTCAGGATCGTGACTATATATATATATAATCATTATTGGTTTCTGTGCTATGTACATGGGGTCTGCAATGTGGGGGAATGTGTGTTTTTTGGTTGTACCCAAGCCTTACCGACGGATAAGTATACATTGAGCTGATGGTGCAACAAACAAACAATCGAACAAACCAACCAACAAACAAACAATCGAACAAACCAACAAACAATGAAACAAAGCCAAACTGGAAATCAATCAATCAACGGACAGGAGAAGGTCGAATCAAAAAACATTGATACAAACGAATTGCAGAACACATGGAAAGTCAAACTGAATGAGAATATATATAGGATATATACGGATAGATAGGCATATGTATGTACATCATATGAGGCTGAATGCGTTTCGGGTATTTATGCATATATATATGTATATTCCAAATCAAATTTGGCCTCGCAGACATGAAAGGCAGAGGAGAGGCGGTTGGTGGTTGTGGGGGAAGGGGACGGGGCAAATGAAATCAAATTACATTAACATAAAATTTAATATCAGCATACTGCGTGTGTGCGTAAGTCTCTTTGTGTGTGTGTGTGTATATGTGTGCGTGTCTAGACCTTAAATAGTTGAGAGGCAGAAAAGTCAGGGAGTGAGTTGAAGAGACTGAAAGAGAAAATTAAATCGAAATCCGAAATTATGAAACGTGTACTCACGATCATGCTCCGTGCAAGCTGCGAATTTTTTATTTTTTGTTTTTATTTTTATACGTATATATTCGATTTTTGTTTCAATTATTTTTTGTTTTGTTCGTACATGAAATGAAGAACGGAAATATACACACATGAAATTTAAGGCAGTATTGTGTTTCGTGTTTTTTGTTGGCTCAATAAAGACAAAACTCGAGTTAACATCAAATCACAGCGCTGTCGTTCAAAAATTCAACAGCAAAAAAAATCACATAAAATCTGACTTTCCATTTGTACTTTTTAAACGTTCTTTTTTATCAGCCAAATACATATATATATATATAGAGAGATAGTGTAGATGTTCAGGTGTGTATGGTATTTGGTGTTTCATTAGTTTCTTTCTGATACGAACGCAACATGAACAAAGTTAAATGGAAACGAAATCAAATCAACACTGAGCACGATCAGGACATTTAATGAAGTATATAGTATAGTATAGTATAGTTACAGTTTATAGTAAAATAAACCTAAAATGTTGTTATATGTGTAGCATTTTATGCGGAATAATTACGATTTATTTGTTGGCTTACAAATGAAAATGTATAATTCTGAGTAGTAATCTCCCTTTGTTTTATAAAAAGTCACTTTTCATAACTTAAAAACTTGAATTATATGACTGATTTTAATTTTGTAAATAGCTTTAATATCTATAAATGAAAGATATATTCCTGGGTACAAGTCTGATTTAGACATTTTTCGTCAAAGCCCTAAAAGTATGCTACAATTTGTATACACATCCTTGAACCGCCGCATTTGATAGATTTTTCCTCCATCAATTCGATTACTTAGCTGAAAATTCTTCCATTTATCAAATTTACATCGTGGAACTTAATTTTTTCAATACTCTCCCCTACTGAAGACACTTTTGGTATACTTACAAATAATAAGAAGATACGTAGATAGGAAAAGATAATAACATGAACACCAAAGACAACAGAAATGGGACAGAGCTGACTGCTTTATATATACACCAGACTGGATTTTAGCATAGGCTTTTCTTTTTCCCAGAGAAAGAGAGAGAGAGAGAGAACGGAAGTACAGGCAGACAAAGTTCAAGAACAGGACTCTTGAAACTTGAAACTTGAAACTCAACGAAGAACCACACACAAAATAAAAATCATTTTCAGAACAAACAGAGATGAGTACATGTAGAGGAACAGTTAGCGGCAGCGCAGCAAATGCACAAAACATAACGGAAATGTAAACAAAAAAAAACATATATGAACATAAATATGAAATTAAAAATAGTTTTTTTTTTTAATATTCTTGCAACAGGTTTTCAATCCAAATAACAGCACAAGAACGAGTACGAGTACGAGTACGAGAACGAGAACGAGAGTTTTTAGGCAGCAAGTCAAATTCATATTCAAACGCAGTTGCAGTTGCAGTCTCATAAATACGATTACATATCGAAAAAGGCCAGCCAAAGAGACGGGTGCGAGCGAGCGGGCGAGCAATAGAAGCGAAAACGGAAACGCATCCATTTTTGGCTTCCGTTCGCCTGGCAATCGTTGTATTGTTCGAGTGATTTCGTGTATGGGTAAATAGGACAGAAATTGTAGCTTTGAAGTGCTTTTGGAGACGACAGCGATAACAATGAAACGACAGTTAACAACTTGGCAAGACAAAGTCCATTTCGATGTTGGCTTAAAGTGCTGCCGACAACTCGCACAAGAATTGCAAACGAATCCGTTCAGATAGACCTGGCCAAAGTTTGGGTGGCTTTTATACCCTTGAGAAGGCAATAATTTCTTAGTACTTAGAAATATATATATTATAAACTGATTATATAAAATTGTTTATAGAAGCTAACAGACAAGATATTTTAAAGTTCTAATAATTATTTGAAGTATTTAATGATCACAAATCGTTGGCTTTTACAAATTTCTTGACTTATTCTTAAAGATTCCTTTTAAAAGAAATCCTAAAATCTTTAAAGATTTTCCTTCCTTCAAGGGTACAATATCTTCGACTTGGTCGAAGCTCGCAGTGTTCACTGGGATTGCTTTGTTTTTTAGACTTACAACATAGACCGAAGTGGATGGCACCGATAGACTCGATCCAGAGCTACCGCGGGCACCGTACTATATATAAATTTGGAAGGAGAAATAAAATTCATGGCGATCGAAAGACCCCGGAAAACACCGTAGTTCATTTTGGCATTTTTAATTTGTTTAAGTTTTTATGTTAAGTGTAAAAGTTGATCGGTTTTGAGATCGGGGGAGATAAGATATATAAGAGAGTGTGTGTTAGAGCATCTGTGATATGTAAACTTCGCTGCGGTTGTTTCATTTGGAAAGGAAATGAGCTAATACATAATGGCATTCATAAACTGATCAGATCGGAAATGAAATTAGAACGGAACGGAAAAGAGTGAACTGAACCCAGAACGGAATGTTTCTTGTTTGGTTTTGTACGTAGTCATGTGGGCAATGTTCGCATTGAGAACTGAGAACGTAGAACTGAGAAACTTTGAACTGTAACTGTAACTGTAGACTGTAGTTAAAAACACGATAAACGCTATTCTAGGCGCTATATCTATATTTTGGCTATATATAATTATAGTAGTAGTAGTAGTAGTAGTATACAGAGTAGTTCGGCGGGTTAAACATGAGCACATGAGCTGCTGGAAAAGCCAAACCAAGGAAACAAAGAAGCGACAGGGCGCACTCAAATCAAAAATCTCAATAAAAATCAAATAATGGCAAGCCTTTTGTGGCCGTCGATGTGACCAATTCAATGGCAATAAGACAAAAAGTAAAATATATATATAAATAAAGGGCACATGGGCGGCACGTGGGGGAGAAACCACAACAAACAATGACGGCCACAAAATAAAAGCCAATAAAATAAAGACAAAAAGATAAATAAAATAATATACGAGTATATATTGAAACCGAAACCCTGTGCCGGGCCAGACACAAACAACTTACAGTTGGCGGTGACAAATTGATGGTGGAGCCACGCCGCTCTTGGGGCCCAATGCTTGAGTGGCGACGCGTCGGCAGCCCGCTGCCAGGAGTACCGCCCGGCGAGGAGGCGCACGATGGCGCTATCCGGATCTTCGGGGTCATCAGTGTGTTGTCCGAGAGCCGCCGGTTGGGGAACACGTTGCCCACGCGCAGGAAATTGCTGTCCGGCGACGAGGGCGAGCAGCCAAACCACCAGCCACCCAGCATGCCGGAGCCTGGGAAAAAGGACATTACACGGAGAACAAAATGTGTGAATGAGTTAATATTTTGGTTAATTTTCCTTTCAAATATAGACCTTTAATCTTTTCTACATATTCAAATTTGTCCAAAGAAGTTTAATTTACCATATTTTTCCTTTACTTATACCTACAAATATTTTTCCCAGTGTAGCTGTACATATGGGAATGCTGTTTTTCAACCAGATACCATTACGCTAAACACACCAGCATTGTGTTGTGAAGCTAATTAAGTCTAATAAAGGTCGCGGTCAGGGCCTAAAACACAGGCACGTAGCTTTTTCCGACGTCGGGACCGCAGTCAGTGCCAAAAACCGACAACCGACAAACCGAAAACCCGAAACCCAGCCAGCCAAGGATTCGCACGCCTGGGATTCTGTCACTGCCAAGGACATTCGCACATTTTGCGGTTGTGGCCGCTGCACCTGACTTGGCCTCTCAGACCCTCAACGCCCTCCTGCCAGTTCCATTCCAATTCAAAGGCAATTTATGCCAAAAGTTATTAACTTAAATTCATGGCAATTGTCAAGGCTGCGCCAGTCACTCTCGGCATTCACTTCTCAATTAACCTGAAATTCCACAAACAACCTTGACGGAAACTGTGAAGGGTTTTGATTTTAGTTCGTTTTTATTACATCATCTCTTGTGTTTGAATTAAGCTACCTTAGCAAAAATGCCAGTAAAAATGGGCCAAAAATTATAGAATCATGCCCAAAACCAAGCCAATAATGGTCCAAATATGGAATGCAATACCTCCCTGAACTCGTAATTAAAATCCCATTAAAGTTTCAATTTTACATAATAAGCAATTAATTAATATTTTATCCATTATTCCAAAAATTAGATGATTTTTGCAATTTTTGATACTATCACCCCTTATCGAACATCCGAAAACTGGGTATCTCAGAATTTCTCCTCAAAATGACAGTATTATGTCCCTAACTTACCCAATAAGCTTGCTGAACTCGCAATTCAAATAGCTTTCAAACTTAATAAGTAATAAGTAAATTTTCGTTCATTTTTCCAGAAATTTGATGATGTGGTTAATAACATTTCCCCCCTCGAATAGACTGTATTATTCCCATATTCCCATACAATAATGGTCCAAATATGGAACGCCATACCTCGTTGAGATTATTTTTTAATTCCTAGTCAAACTGCGTTCACAGTTTAAAATGTCAAATTTTTAACATTTTCTGACAAACAAAGATGATATTAACCCTTCTTAAAAATGCGAAATTTGGTTAGTCCCGATTTTTTCCCAAAAATAGTAGTAATGTGCCCATAACCAAGCCAATAATGGTCCAAATATAGGGTGCCATACCGCGTTAAGCTTCTAATTCAACTAACATTCAAACCTATAACAAATCGAATTTTGAATTTTTTTTAATTTGTCAATGGGGTGGTAAGGGGGGTACCCTTATAAAAAATCGAAAATTGGCCAAAATTCATTTTTCTCAAAATCAGAAAAGGAATGATGAGGGTACTTAGATTTAGACGTTAGCTGCACAAACTTGTCGGTAGTTTCTCTATGCGACTCTTTTTTACTAAATAGTAGCTATAAAACTGGTGAAAATACTTAAACTTTCGTCAAAAAAAGTAATCATGATTTTTCGCATAGAAAACTCAGAATACTGGCTAGATTGATGCGAAAAATTGTCGTATGGAATGTGATACCCTGTTATACTTGTAATTTATTTCCCCTCAAACTGGCTAAAAATATTTCTTTATAACATTTTCAAAGTCATTTTTTTTTCCAAAAATTTAATATCAAACACATCAAGAACTTTTTTACTTTCAGACTCTGATCTTGATTTGGTTGGCTTTTTGGCCCTGTGTTTGAATGCCTGAAAATGGCCTGGCGTGGCCTTGCGTTTGTTTGTGACTTTTAAGTGGCAATATGCAGCAGTTGCAGACAGGTGGTAAGGTGGAAATTAACAAGTGGGTCGGTGAGTGGGTTCAAGGTGACTCTGTGGCAAATTGTCGGTGGGCAGTAGCACAGTGGGTCGAGCCAAACTGAGCTGAACCTGAAATGCCTCGTGTCTGCGGGCGATTAGGGCCATCATAATAAATCATCATTACGGCGAAAGTTCATTAAGCAGCAGTGCAGCTAGCAGCCAGCCAGCCAGTGTTTCCATGGCCGATAATACCAGGCTCCGGGCAGTGCTTTTGATTTTCATGTTCGTAATTATAAAATTATCATAGCCAGGATAATACAATTAAATGCCCGGGCACAATGGCCCCGTCCCGATATCGAAAGGAGCCGAGCTGATTAGTGGGCATGGCAAACCGAGCCACTGTCACGTTCGATGAATATCAAATTGAAATCACAACGAAAGTTCCAATTATACATGCCCACAGGCAACCACTCAACCGACAAGCCAAGTGGGCAGATGGAGTCTCATAAATACAGATTCAGTATAGATTTCTTAACAAGCAAAACGCCAAATTTCTTAGTCCCAGCATTTGGTTTACTTTTCATTCAGTCATGCATTAGTCATGAGGTAATACGAAGGTATGGCTTAATTATTCTGTCCAGAGGTAGGTAGGTGTGCATAATTTATTATAAATTGAACAAATATCACAAAGATTTCTGTTTAATTTCTATATCGAAAAGGTGATGTTATGCATTTTTGATGTAAAAATTTATTCCAATCAGTAATCATTTTAAATTCTAAGTCTACCTACATTTGCCTAAATATTAAAACACACTTTCCCCCATATGTTTGTGGATATTATTCTTAGCGACTTATTATCCATTCAGGAAGTCTTTCTATACAAATCGAAGGATTCACTCACCGCCAGAATTTTTGCGGGCCATGTCCTCGGCACTGGATGTCTTGCGTTGATCTATTCGCAAGTTGGGAATATTGAAGGGCGGCGCATTCATGTTGTCCGTCGAGAATTGATGGCGCAGGGTGCGGTGACGTTCCGGCGAGGCCATCGACAGATTGTCCAGCTTCAACTTGTTCCTCTGCTGGCGATCGATGGCCTCTAGCATTTGCTGCAGCACCTGATAAAAAAAAAAGAAAAATAAAAACGGCAGCAGTTGGGCAAGTTTCATCCTGAAATAACCACCCAGGGACACTCACCTCCAGCAGGTAGCAATATTGCTCGAAATTGAGTGCCGGATTGACGGTGTGCGGAATGAGCAGGGGCAGAACATTGGTGGCCATCGTCTCCACAGTCAGGCCATAAGTTTTGTCCACAAACAGTTTGTGATAGATACCTGGGGAATTTTAAATTAAGATTGTCATATTACTTACTACTATTTTATGTTTTTTTATGATCAACAAGTAACTACAAGTCAGCTTTGGGACATTTTTAATCAATCTAATGGGAACTTATCAGTTTCCCTTCCAGCTTTTAATCACAGCTAAAGTTTTCTAATGAATATATAAATCAAACTAAATGCAACAACAATCAAATCCCAGTAGTTTATAGAATAAATCAAGCTATCTGTTAGCAATTAAGCTTCACCAATTTTGTGGCAAACTAAATCAAATTGTCAGCTAGTACAGAATTCTCTTAAAAGTAAACCTCTGTGGGCATTTTGTATTTATCCATGTTAGCATGCAGATAAATCGGTGTAAATCTGCATTGTTTGAAATGGGCCAAGGGGAAAATTGTGTTCCATGCACTTTAATTAGTTTTCGATAATAGCCTGGAAAAACAATGGAACTGGAAGTGTGTGAAATTGCCGTAGGCTGTGTGGCTCAACTTACGCACAGTACGCATGATGATATCAGGATCGGGTATGCGAATGTTAGCCAGCAATGGCAAAACCTCATCCATTACCTATCATAGAAATGTGATATATGTGTGAAGTAGATAGCGGGAATGGTAACTAGATTACTCACCTGAGCCCGTTCCATGCGGTCCATGACGCGTTCAATGCACATGAGTACATTCTGTACTATCTTCGGGTCGGTTATGTTCTTCTCGAATACCATTTTCACCTTGGGCAAGACCATCCGGCGAATGGAGAGCTCATCGATGCTATCAAACACATTGGCCACAGCCACAACGGCAGCGCTCTAAGTTCGGAATATAATTATAGGGTTAAGTTACAGGGTGGTCTACAGTCATATTAGTCATTAATAAATAATAATCTTAAGTTTGAATCTTCAATTTAAACCGTATTTTCCTGTGTCCTTAAAATGTTTGTTAGTATTTATTAAATTTGAATTTCCTTTACCCCACTCTAAGGACTTGAAATTGCGGAAAGAAAATGCAAATTCAGTTTCCCGGCACTTTTTGTGCTCCCAGTCAGTCGAGTCAGTCTGAGTCGCAGTTAATTAAGAAATTGCTGCTGTAATTACACAATCAGCTCCGTCAACGTCAACCCATTTCCATTACCATTGGTTGTCCCGGCTTCTGGTCTGATTTGCATAGCCGAGAGGAGCACTCACCTGCACTTGTATCGTGGAGCCATCGAAGGAGTAGAACAACATTGGCATTATGTCTGTGGTAACGTCCTCGGGCTTCGTCTTCTCAATAATCAAATGCAAATTCTCAAGTATCGTAACGCTGGCCTGAATGGATTTCGGTGTATTGTAGATGATTCTGGGATATATCACATAGATTTGATTAGTAAAGAACTTAGGCAGAAGAAATTACTAAAAATAAATGCGCGTGAAAAGTTCCAAGGACTAAGTTTCGATTTCTTTTTTGAGGTATTTTTCTTTTTTGGCCTGGTGTCAATAAGCGTCTTACAAGTGGCCACAAAGTTTGTCGCCAAGTTTTTGGGCCAAAGTAGTGAACTCTCTCTATCTCTCTTGCTGTCGCTTCGTAGACGTAGTGGTGCGGGCTTTTGTGTGTGTTTTACTAATTTATGCACGGCTCACTGCCAAAGGTGAGCACTCCTGGGGGCTCCCAGGTCCTGGGAAAGTTTGCCAGTCGAGCTCTATAAATTACAATACGAACTGTCGCCTGTCGCAGTCGGCGCAATAAAACGTCATGAAAATTGAATAACATAAAAAAAAGTGTCGCGAAAGTTTTTCAATTGTTCAGAGAAACACAAAAGTTCGGATCGGTAGACAAGAACAGAAGGGATTCTGGCTGAACAATGACACGATAGAGAAACTTTTGAAACCGGAATGTCCTCAGTGATATTCATATTATTGAATAGAAATAGCTTCTCAATTATGGTTTATTTAAGCTCCGCCTTCCATTTGCTTGACTTTGAAAACTATAAATTATGTAAAGTTTGTTTATATTTATACTGCTGGCTATAGCCTTTAATCTCACCTACTTAATTATAGTTAAAATCTCTTTAATTACATTTTTTAAAGCCACTTTTAGTTCTAACAAGAGCTGCTTTTTCATTGGTGGCTAGCAACCTGGACAACCATTTTCCTCGTTAGCCAATAGGCTATAAATAAGACCACTTACTTCATGGTGGCCGACATGAGGTTGTCGTACTCCGTGAGCGTGGCTTCCTGGACAAAGAGCATTACTGGCTGCAGGACAGCGGCCAGGACCTCGTTATTGTTGATCTCCGACTTGAGCATGGGCCAGATGTTCTGCCACCAGAGTTTCTAAATAAAAAAAAGAAGGAAAAGGTTCACGAATGCGGGGAAGTCATTAACCAGTCTATGTCATTTCAATTGCCAATGCTAAGCCGTCATTAAGCGGCATCAGACAATGGCCAAAACGAAAATAAAGACAAACTCCTTCCGCTTTTCCCCAACCGAAAACAAAAGGACAGTGGCAACATTTTTGCAAATGACATAAAACGGCTCGTAATTCACAAATTGTTTGGCCGTAAAGCGCACAACTTGGCGCCGTTAATGATTAATGTGCTGTCAGTTCGTTGGCCCAAAAATGTTGTCCAACAGGCTGCATCCGTTTCCGGTGGCAGGGCTAGAGAGAGGAGTGGATGCCACTTACACGTGGTATCAACGGCATGGCCTCGATCAAGGTGGTCTTGTAGAACTGGGACTTCTGTTGCGTGTCCTTCATGTTGACCACGTCCAGGAATTTGAGAGCGTTTATTGGCGTATCGCTGTGAAACGAGAAATATGACAACATTAAGTCGATGGCAACGAATTAAATTACCTTATTTGCACGCTTTTTATAAAAATGTCGGAGTATAAATGTGTAAATAAAAAATGTTTTGTAATCGCTTTAAGTGCTTAATTGCATGAATTTTTTGTGTTATTCGTTTAAACGATTGTACCTGGGATTAGTTGGTAAATGGCATCAATTAAACATTAAGCTGGCAGTGCAAGTGCGAGGGCGAATAAAATGAAATGCCATCAAATGGAAATGGCCACAGGGAAAAACCCGCAAAAATTAGCCAAAGGCAATATTTATCTCTGTGCCATTGAAATTAAAATATTAAGTCCCCCTCTCAGTCCGCAGAGGGACAGACAGGCGCCGAAACTTTCTAAAATGGAATTCTAAATACATTTCATTGTTATGTAAATTAAATTGTTGAAATTTAATTGCCAAAAAGTGTTTACTTTCGACCCGCATCATTTCATTCCCCATTTTGAGTGATTTTCTGAGTGCGGCTTCCTGGTTATCTCGCAAAAAACAGATGGATTCTATGAAATTTACCACAAATGGCAAATAAATTTCAGCTATGCCTCACTGTTTTTAGTTTCGCTCGGTTAAGCAATGAAATCGAATCACATTGCGTATACGCCTCCGTTGTCTAGTCTTGACTTAATCATGGCAATCGACCAAGCGGAAAAATCTTATTTCAAAATCTTCTACTTGAGCTTAAATTGGAGGAAAGTTAGCTTGCCACTGATTGCCAGGATACTCAAGCCATTTGCATACGCTGCTAAAAACGCGGAAAATGTTGACAACATTTAAATTAACTTCAAAGTGCTGCCACCAACCAACCTGGCAGACTCACTGACTGACTCACTGACTGACTAACTGACTAACTGACTGGCTGACTACAAAAAGGAGGCAAAAGGAGAGGCATGGTGAAGAGGCTGAGATTGTGATGAAGGCGGTGCTTTTCCAGCAGCAGAGGCAGCAGGCTGTTGCTTTCACTGTTGCTGCTGACAGCGCGTTTAGGAGCGTAGGCGGTAGCAGGAGGTATATGGGTTGAGTTTCAGGGGTTATTAATATTTAAACAATATAATTTTACGTGAAAATAAAGACACAAATTAAGAGAATAATATCGAAAATAAATATCCTTTAAAATGTATTTGAAAAACTAAGAAATATTAAAGAAATGGGAAACTGAAAAGCATTTTAGCTTTCATTAGATAAGAGGAAGATATATTTTCCTGATCCTTGAAGGCAGTATTATAACCTTAAACGTCTCAATCTCGAAACCCAGATCCGAATAAGCAATCAGCTCTAAGTAAATGAATAAACAAGAACTGCTTTGACCTGTCCCGTGATTACTCCATGAAATTGCACTTATGAAAAGCCAATTTGAATTCAATTCGCAGGGCAATAGCAGCAGCATTACCACACAATTGCCAACGTTTTGCGCTGCTTTACATTCAATTCACCTATGGGGCATATATAACCCGGAGACAGCCAGCGGTATTCCCTAGCTGAGCACTGATGTACTTCATGCTTGGTTTGTGCCTTGCAGCCACTTCAGTCGCCACTTCTCCGTTGCCATTGCCATTGCCATCGCCATTGCCATCTCCATCGTCTTTGGCTTTGTTTGTCTAAACGCGGCACGTCGCCTTCCCCTTTTTCAGATCTCGACGGGAGGCAGCCCAACAGCTGCTGTCGTCATAAATCCCAGAGTCAGCCAGCCTGGGTTGTGGAAGCAATGCCACTCCAGCTCAACTACCGTACCACAATCAGCTGAAAAGCACTGAGATCTTACACTGGGAAAGTAACTACTGAGATGTCATTTTCAGACAGAAATCTAGAGCATTCTCTGGTTTAGTAAACAGAAGCTTTAATGTAAAAAGAGAACTGAAAGTTAACCCATTTCTCTCAGTGCCTAGCTACCATTCGCTTTGCATTGTGTATGTCTTTCAGGTCTGATTACCGCTTTCATTTGGCAAACAGACGTAATTAAAGTGTGCGTGTGTCGGTTGTGGAAAGGTGGCAGGACGGATGGTTGACTGAGGGGCAAAAAAAAAAGAAAAAAAAATGAAACCTTCAATTGAATTTCAGCTACAGGTACAAATTGGCTTAGAGATTGCGTGTCGTCGGGGTTAGTACGGGTATGAGTATGTGTAGGTGAGTGTTCCCAACAGGTGTCAATTTCATTTGAAACTCAAACAGAAACTTTGAGAGTAACTGCGCAAATTGCCACAGTTTGTTAAGCTTCCTGTTGCTTTCGTCGTCTTAGCTGGAAGTTAATTAATTTGGCCACTCACATGAAGTACTTGATGAGCTGCAGCAGTTGGGCGGTGGGTCTGGCCGTTGCATCTCGACTGGCCATACGCGAAGTGGCCTCCTGCAGGGCAATTGGCAGCCTGGGCATCAACTTGTGGACCAGATCATCCAGCTGGAAAGGGGGTAAATAAGATGATGGGTTTGAGGGGTTTGAGTTTTATGCCAGAAACTCTCTCTCAGTCCATAAGCATAAACGAAACAAACTTTGCCACAACATTAGAAACCACTTGGGGACTTTTGGGAAGGCAACTTCGAAACGTCCAATGCCCAGGACAGGACGAAAAGTTTTAATGACAAGCGCCCGCGGGATATCTGCTACTGCTGCTGCTCCAGCTCCTGCAGCTTTTCCTGCTCCGTCACCTGTCCGCACAAGTGGCAAAATAATTAGAGTTTCAAGTGGACTTTTTGATTACATTTGCATTTGACAAAGCTGCGAATCTAATTACAGCTCGCAAACAAGCCCATCCAAGCGTTTTGCTTCGGCTCAAAACTTTTCATCCATCCAATTGGCACTTGTCGTCGTAAAACCTCCTCCCCCTCTCTCTCAAGTCCATCCTGGCAATTCAGAAATTAGAAATTGTTTACCCACCGTTTCCATTTGCTTGGCATAGTTGGAGGTGGAGTTGCCGGCCTGTATCAGTGGCCTTCCGTTGTTAAAGACCGCACAGATCACCATTCCCAGCGAGAACATGTCGCTGAGCAGGCTGCACTTGGACGTTGACTGAGTTTCGGGAGCTAAGCGAGGTTAATGGAAAGATAATAAAGTGATACGAGTTAATTAGGGAATTAGTTTGTGATTTAGAAGGTGTCTTATACTATCTTTGTTTTCTCTTAATTTTGACTTACAAATAACCCTAAAATATTCCTAAATTTGAATTAACTTAATTAATATCCTTAAACCCTTGTTAATACCATTATCACTGTAATCTGCCAGCCACCTCTTAAACCTAAGAATATTCCAATTAAATACGCCTCTTCATGATGATATATCATTTATTTTGACATCAAGAAGTCCCAAAATAGATGATGTTCATTCATGTTCTTGACTTTTTCAGAAGTAGTAAGTGGCTTAGGACATGACCAATCTGTATTTACTCACCCATAAAGTCGAGATTCGGCTGGGCCATTTTGGACACTCGGTTGCTCCATGGCGGGCACGGAATGGAGCTGTTCAAATCGTTCTCGTTCATTCGCTCTGCAATCCAAATATGTGAATATGAATACAAATTGCTGATCCGGCCACCAATCCATTTCAATTTTTTGAGGCACCTAAACCTAAGAACACACACAAACTCACCCACATATTCCATGCCGGCCAGCTTCCAGATACCGCGCTTGGTTATTAGTATAGAAGATGGACACACATTGCGATGAATTACGTGACCGGAATAGTGCAGATACGCCAGTGCCTCGGTCAGCTGGATAAGGGAACGAAAGCAAAGCGTTTGAGGTCATGCTATACCCGCTGTCCTGAAAACAGCCACCTGCCAGGTGCCACTCACCTGGAGAAAGCCGTACTTCAGCTCCATGTCCAAGAAATTGTATTCCTTGGCATGGGCCGGTCGCTGTGGCACAGTACTCGCCGCCGCCTGTGCCTGGGCAGCTGCTGCTCCACCCGCCGCCGGCGTGACATTGGTTGTTTCGTAGGTCTTCGACTCCTAAACAGTGAACGAAATTTTTGTTAGTTTTCTATTTAAGCCCATTGATTTAAGTAACTCGAAATTTATCTTATTAACTGACTTATTAAGTATATAGTAGGCATATTCCATCACCTGTTTTTAGATACTTTTTCGATTGATTCTTAGCCTACAAATCTAAAGCTAAAAAAAACCTTTTTAAAATTTTGCCTGTGTACTGTTGCGGACAGGTAATAAAGAGTTAGGGCCTAATCCCGCACTGAGCTGGCCGGATGGCCTTAAATTTGTTTCACTTTCACCCTCGGCTACTTGGACTTTCACCAAGCTACTTTCAGCTCATGGCTTTAAAATTCCCATTCAGAGCATTGCATTTGATGATAAGCCATTCAAATCTCTCGTGTTTCTGCTGTTTGTTCGACCCTGGCTTTTTGTTTTTCCCCATGGCTTTTCCTTTACCAATTTTTCGTTTGTTTTCTGTATGTGTGTGAACGCTTTGAGTTTTACCTTTTTGCAATTTTCAATGTAATTTAACTCGAATCGACTTTCATGGAAACTAAAAACTATTCAGCAGGTTTCGGTTCTTTCCGGTTATTGTTGAGCTGTTTATATGGGTATAAGGGCTGCTGCTGTTGTTGTTGTTGCTTTGTTCTGCGTAGTCTTAAACAGAAGTCCTACAGTGCGTTTCGATACTGTAAAGGGTTCTTATAGATTCCCAAAGAAAGTGATTTTCTTTTTAGCGCTTAAAAGTATGCTATACATTTGTATCCCTTTAGCAGACTTGCAAATTTTAACATTTTAATAGATAAACCATTAAGAGAGTCTAATAATAAGACCTCCAAGTTCATAATAAATGGAAAGAAGTAAAATTGAGTATAAATTTAACTTACTTAAATCCCCATCTACCTTTCCTGACCAACCCTAAAACGTTCCTTCCTTTAACTCGATTTCGTGAGTTCATCGTTGAAGTTTTAGTTTAGATCCCCAAATTAATTTGAGTTGAGCAACTAATATAATCCAATATCTTGGCTAAAACCACCTTTAAGTTGCGACACGCACTGTGTGTGTGTGTGTGTGAGTATCAATTTCCTACCTCTGCGTACCAACTGAAGCTCTTTATTGACTCAATCTTGGCAGCGTAAACTTTCCCACACACACACACACACATACAGATCTAGAATCACACACCAATACATACACGTTCACAATCACACACAGACACAGACACATACACTGTGTAATTCGATTTAGTTGTGTGCGTGAAAGCAAACTGGCGTTTGTGTTTCTGTCATGCATACCCATCAGTTGCCAGTTTCCACTGGCCAGCAGCCAGCCGACAGCAGCCAGGAGCTAAGAGCCACGCCCACTGCCCCACCCACTCGCAATTGTGCTCCAAAGTCAAACTATGCACTTGGCTGGCCTGCAAAAACTTTAACAAAACACAGCAACAGCACCATCCACTGCAGCAGCAACACCAAAAACAGAGCCACAATCAACCGAACAGTCTAAACATTGTTCCACTCTACCTGTGAAATGGTAGATGAACCAGCAAAGGGACGGTCATTTGCACCGTAAAAAATAATATTTAGGGTTATGATTAATAGTTAGAAAATAATTTTAAAATGTCTCCCGCTATAAATTCTAATGTAAAGCGGATTATAATATGTTTTCTACCACAAATAACCTAAAAATAAAGTTTAAAAACACATTTTAGAAATCTATAAAACCATAAACGACATTAAAGTTAGAATAACTTTAACAAAACTTGTTAATAAACTATAAAATATACATTAGTATATATAAATATTAATTTAATAAAAATTCCCGAAACATTTTTCTCCGTGTTTTATCTTTGAAAAGCGTAAAAAGGCAGAAAAAAGGCCGTAACCAATATAGGACTGAAAGGCAACCAAGCGACAACACAAATTGCATGTCCATGTCGCTGTCAGCAACTCAAACTACCAACTAGCAACTGGCAACAGGCAACTGCTAAAATGGCAACTAAAACTGTGGCCAAAACTCACGTGAAAGGCCAGGACATTCGAGAGGCTGGCGAAGATGGGCTCAGAGGCGAAGGCCAACGTATCCGCACTTTCCTCGACCGTGTGATAGATTTGTAGTATCTGCGGGGGCAAACGGAAAAAGAACAAAGAACCCAAAAAGGGAGGGAAAACATGAGAGGGTTCTCATGGAAAAGTAATTATCGATTGGAGGACACCGCGGCACACTCACCCGCGGATGACGGAAGCGCTCCAGTGTCTTAACCGAACTCTTTAGCAGCTCCGTTATGGTCTCCTTGCGTCGCGGCTTGTGCAGCTTCTCGGCAATTTTCTTCTCGAATATAAACACCGAACATTCCTGCGAAACGGAGATGCAATTACGTTAAGAAAAGAGTTGAACGAAGAAAGCTTATTACATTGCTGCGAGGGAATCGTTCTTAAATGTTAATCAAAAATGATTTAAAAGTAAGAAAAGGTTTTTCATATTCTTTACTCTATTAAAAATTGAAGTTAAAAAGAAGATTTTATATACAGAAACTTAACATATAAAATATTTAAATTAAATTTAAAAAAAATTGTGTTCGTCCTTACTCACCTTGTTGTCGCTCTTGCGGTAGGCATCATGAATGCGCCATACCAATTCTGGGCCGGCACAGGCCACAGGCTTGCCGATTTCGAAGTACTGCGTAATGGGATTGCCATCGGCAACGCTTTGAGTGGCTGTGGATGCGGCCACATTGGTGCTCTTGAATTTGGCAAACATTGTGCCGGCGGGCATACCATCGATTAGCTTTGAGAAGACATTCGAGAAGCTCCCCTGTCGCTTGGGTCCTGGCTGAACTGGAGCAGTGCCACCGATGGTCGGCGCCGATCCACTTCCGCCCACTGGTTCCCCGAGGGTTGAACCGGAAACTGCACTGCCTGTCGTTATCCCTAATCCCGCTGTGGCTCCAATTCCTGGCGATGATGATTGTGATGATGATGATGCGATGAGTGATCCACCTGCTGCTGCACTGATGGACAGTCGTCCGCGATTAGTCGGCACTATTCCCACGCCAGAGGCTGTTGCACCTGCTGCACCAACCCCACCCACTCCCTGGCCATTAAAGTTGGCGTGCTGGCGACTGGGAATCACTGACACCGGCGGATCATAGACACTAAATCCATTGCGAATAACTGGAGATGGTGGTCCGGCCAAGCCACCGCCCACGGATACTTTGCGCTGCGGCAAATTAATGTCGAGCACCGTACTGGCGCTTCGCTGTCGTACCGCTGCCACGCCTCCTGCACCAGCCACGCCCACAGCAGCCGTACCCGCCACGCCCACGCCCCCGCCTCCACCGACGCCACCGACAAACTGCTGCTGGCCACTCCTGGCCGGTGAACCCGTTGCCACCACTGCCGCTGCCACTGTTCCCGATCCTGATCCCGTTACCGCACCGGCAGATACCGTTCCTGGTCCGCCCGGCGGCGTTATTCCCACAGCGCTGCCACTGCGACCGCGTTGCACCTCCTCGACACTATCCAAACGTGAGAAAATTCTGGCCGCCGTTGTTGCCGTCTTTGATATCTAAAATGGGCCAGGAGTGCTCTCCTCCAGACGGTTCCCTATTTAGTTCTTCCTGGAAAAATTAAAAATAAATGTAAAATTTCCAGAAAACGGAAGCACCGTGAAAGAGCGGCAAATTTCACTTTAATTGCGGCCACTTGACATCGCTCATACGCCCCGTTGGCCAGACAACCATTTTATTCCCTTCCCTCTGCACTGGCAATTAATGCGCTTATTGCCTGGCTTGGCTTTTGTGCTCAATTTATACACTCATTAACCCCCTGGGCAAAGAGGAGACTTTAAATTTCCCTAGCTAAGTCAAGGTGGGTTAATTCTATTCACAATACGCCTTTGGATATTATTTTTACCAGAGAAGTTGTGGGTTAAGGTTTATGAAAGCAACATATATTTCACCAGAAAGTGAACCTCTAATTAGCAGGGATAATTCTATGGCAAAATAACTACCGAAATAGTTGTGCAAATCAATAACAAACTTAATAAGCCCAAATTTGATATTTATTTGTTTTTGCATTTCTAAGCAGAATATTTTCCATCTCTGCTTTTGTGAAAATATTTATCTTAATTAAGTGATTATAACTCAATGTTATCTTTCATTTGTACTTGTTGCTGGCATCCAATTTAAGGTAACTATTTAATATAAACAAATATTTACATATACGTATCGTTGAGCTATCAATTATCCGATAAGTTGCTTAATAAAGTCAAGAGTTCCTGCAATTCGTTTGTATTTAATTCAGCGTAAGTCGACCATAATCGGATTGATTGTTATAAAAAATGCATGAGAAGGGGATACACAGTGCAGTGAGTTAAAAACCATTCCACTCTTTCAAATATAGAAGAAGTTTGTTTAAATTTTGTAATTATTCCGCAAATATTTGGCAAATATTTCAAGATAAATTGGATACCTAGAATGGCTTTAGAAAAAGATATAATTCTCTTGGGCACCTAACTAATAACTACAACTCTTCAATTTCCTTTTAAGTAGAGTATTTAAGCGTCGGTTATGCGTATTAAAAAATCCCTGGCTTTACAGTTTCCAACGGCATGTCATTTATTTGGCTGCTTCACACAAAACTGCACAATTAAAAAGTTAAATGAGTTTGGCCCCAACCATTCACTTTTCAGGAATACATAAAACAGCGTGTGATTGTTGGCGGGAATACTTTTTTTTTACAAATTCATGAAAATGCGCTTAAGGCTTAATGAGTTTATTAATTTTCTGGAAATAGCAGAGAGTGACTATTTTTTTGGCAATTGGCCAAATGGAAGCCTAATGCAATTTGACTTGGCAAACATGTGTCAAAGTGTCTGGCACATATCTCGCATTCTGACTGCACTCACTCAGTCTGCCACGGACGACTTTTCCGGCTTTTCCCGTCGACGACTTTACCGCCCCTCCCCCCCGGCGCTGTCTGTTCGCTCATTGGTGTATACACATTCTTTGCCGACTGAATTATTCAATGCAAGTAAACATTTTTCGGCAAGATGCTCGCCCTGAAGCTCAGAGGCAAAGCCAACAAATTGACTTGAGACATCTTAACTTTTTGAAGGAGGGCAAACGGGGCCACATAAATTTTCCAGCAAACGTAAAACTATTTAGTGGAAAACGTTCATTCGCCCAGGATCTTCTGCAATGTTGCGTGAAATTTTTTTCGTTAAATAAATTGTGTTGATGGTAAATAAATAAAGTATGAGAGCCCGAGAAGCCCGACCGCATTGTGTGCTTAACGGTGGCTATATAGACTATGTAGCACGGAGAACAAAGTATCCACTGACAAACAGATGGACTGACAAACGGACATACGGACTGGAAGGACTCGGCGACACCGGTCACGGACTGATGATGGCTGACAGAATACGGCGGACGGAGGGCAGAGAACGAAGTCCGGCGGAAAACGATTGGCAGAGGCAACTTTCTAGGTCAGCATTCTTCAATTGAGGGCAAACAAGCTTAAATATTTAAGACGGTTAAGCATGGCGAATGGATGCGGTTTGCTTTTACGGCATTTCTATTTTGCAATCTACGAGCCTTTTGGAATTTTCTAGTGGGTTAAGTCCGCTTACCAACGTAATTTTGGAAAACAAATTTATTCCAAAAGACATTTTCCCAATGGGTGAATTACATTTTATTGGAATTTATTTTCTGGGGAATTATTTCCCAAACTAACCGCAGGTTAATTAGGTTGTTAAGTAATCCTATTGGGAAAGGAACTCTACGAGTTTTCAGAGAGTTGGGACTTTTTTAACTTTACCAAACTTATTTCTTAACACATTTTGTACTTTATTATTTATATTATTTATTTACCTTCCTTCGATTAGAGAACACGATTGCCTTGTAACCAAATCAAATCAAATTGCATGCAAATTAAACCCATAAATGCATCACAAATAAAATTTGATTTAGCATTTAATTATGGCTTGTAAAGTTCCATCAAGCATTAAATCGAAAACAAAATCAAATTAATTAAAACCTTACGAGCTGGTAATAAATCAAATCATATGCCTGCTTTATGTAAGGCATTATGAATAAAATTAATTGAATATGTTTCATAAAATATGCAGACTGTGGCGAGGCGGGTATCGTATTTAAGGCGGGTATCGTATTTATATTTTCCCAACATAATTCATTCGCCGAGTGGCTGCCTTTAATCAACATTAAATGTGGCTATTTAATGGCAGTAATAATGGCGTTGATATCTAATCCATCGATCAGCCATCGGGTTTCTAATAAATGTCATTTCGATTTGAATTTTATAAATGCCAGGTAGGGGGTGGGCGGTTGTTGCTCGTTTTCGGGGGCAGTGAAAATCCGTTAATGCTAACCGTGCTCGTGCCGGTCGTTATTGATTTCGTCTTTGGCACGAACCCCACGAACTAAAGTAGCCAAAATTAAATGATAAAAGCTCTTGGAACTCCGGGAATTATATTTTTGGACCAGCAACGGAGAGAAAGAGATTTTCCTGTATTTTATATTTGACAGTATCAGAGTGTGTGTGTATGTATTTAATGTTCCGTCCAACGAGCAATGTGAGTTAAATATTTTTAGCCGAAAGTCAGACGAAGATGGGCAAAAGAGGCGCCCGAAAAAGTAGGCAGCAGAAGCAACAACGTGTTGCCAACTCAAGCGCTGATTGAAGACAAACACACACACCAACACAGTGGCCAAAACAAACGATGGCAGACGCACGCACACAGATGTCTCAATTAGAAAAAGAACAGACATGATGGTCCTTTAGCCGCACCAACACACTCATACACATACATAACGAGGACCTACATACGAACATAACTGTGTGTGTCAGTTAAGGCAATGCGGCCCGTCTTTTGTTTGCTCTTGCCTCATTTATTGTTCGCCTGCCGAGCAGGACAAAAGCCAAAATGCACAGCAAACGAATTCGTTTTAGACTCAAGGATATTTTTTAAGCCTTAAATGGGGAAAAAATGTGTGAGATATTGAATTGCAAACGAGGAAAACTTATTTTTTTTTTGGTAAATAAAAAGGAAATTACAAAATAACCATTTTTTGTGGGTAAATAAATATTTCGTTGAGTGTAACATAGTTTCGTTTTGTGCCCAGCCAACAGCAAATGCGTTGGCGTGCAGAAGAACAACAGAGACCAGTGGCTCCCCCGGTGCAAGTCATCTACATTCGCTCAGTTCGCTCCGGAAGATAGCAGAAGGAATATTCATAGCATACTTTCCGGCCATTTCCACTCGCATTTCTTCTTGCCAACTAACGACAACTGCTGCGGTTGCACCTGCTGCAATGCTAATTACCATCTCCCCTACTGATGAACTCAAGGATCTGTTAAGGTTGGGCAATAATCTCGGACCATTAAGAAGGGTTCATTCCCCGATGGGAATGCAGGAAACTAAGAAGAGAGTTCAATACACGGACACAGACAGAGAAGAAGACCTTATCCACCACATTGGAGGATAGTGCCCCTCGGGCACTCTACACATTTGCATATTACGTATACGGCACGTGAACGTGCCCAGGGAGCCAGAGAGCTGCTGTCACTGAGGCATTAAGGCTGCTTAATTAAATCTTTTGCGTAATTTGTTTAGTTATCCTCCACAGTACGGTATCCACTTGAAAATTGAACGGGAGCTTGTGTATGTGTGGCAAACAAAGGCGGCTTAAGACTTCGGTTAAGTGCGACTGACGAGCGTTCATAATTGAATTGCGGCTAAATGCTAACTAAATGCAATGCCAGCAGTATAGACACAATCATGCCATAATTATTGCCCACCAAGGATTGTAAACTGTTTTCACCGACGACCGAAACGAAATCAAATTACTGCCACAAGGAAACCTAATTACATTTTCGGCTCGTAGATAGACAACACCGACCGAAAAGAAACCAACCAATTCCAAAGAATGGGCAATTAGTTTTGGCCGAAGAGTTGCTCCTTTTGGATGTTTTTGTTATTCTTATGCGTGCGTAAGCACAATATGTTGCCATGTTTGGCTAGGCGGATTAATTTCCAGGCCAATATGCGTCAAAGTCAGGCCTCGATGCTGTCGTGCGTTAATATGTTTGTTCAAGGGGTTGCCACTAGGAAGGGTCTCTCATCCCCACTTGGGTAATCAGTTTTCAATAAGGCTTCTGTGTTGGGGTATTTAACAGCTTAGGTTAGAGTAACTATCATGTTTGCAAGTAATCCGAAAGGATATCGTAAGGAAATTCCAATTTGATAGCTTATTATTGCACACGCAACATGAATTTTAATATGACGAGGCGACAGCATATGCTAGAAATAACTTTTATTCGATTTTAACTCGATGGAAATGTAGCGGGTTTAAATAGCTAAGTGAATGAAGTTTAAAAGAGATCTAGTTTTGTGTTTAAAATATCTAATAAAGCATTATGTGAATGTAAAATAAACCTCCTCAATATACAAACTAGCTTCAACTTTGGCATTAAATGGGAATGCCTCCAATTAGGAACCTACAAAATTTTCCCATTTATGCCCATAAGGCATAAAAAGTCTTAATTTGCCAAAGCATAAACTAGTTAGAATCGTGCACATTTTGCAATTTTGGTAAATAAAACTCACACAGAAATAACATAAAGCCACAGAATATTTGATGAATTTTGGGTGTATTCCTTTTGGTGCTGCTTCACAAGTGCCACAACAATTTTGGAGATCTAATTTGGTCTGGCAGCCGCACTGCCAAAGCATCCTAATTAATTTTGTGCGCAGAGCTGAATTCAATGGCGAATGGCAAATATTTTCCAAAAATTGCAATGCAAAATGATGAATTTCTGTTTGCCAGGCGACAATGAATTGCAAATTGCCGTAGTGTCAGGAGTGGTAAATACATTTTTGTTCAATCGAACAGGGAGGGTGTTCAGAGAGTGTGTGTGTGTTAGCCGAAAACTAATCGAGCAGAATTGTGGCACAAAAATGTGTTATTTACTCGGCAAAAGAGCACAAATAAATACAGGGTGTGACGTGGCATGTTGCCTCAAGATTTAGGGCTTTAATGCGATACACGAAGAGAAATTTATGTTCTCCCTGTATTTCCTTTTTATTGAGAAACAAGGCTTTATCGAGGTTATAATTTAAACTTTATTTGAGTTAAACCTTAAGAAAAATCTGCCTTCTTTGTTATTTTAAACTTTCCAAAATGAACTTTTGTCAAGGTGAAAAGGTCTGTGAAAAACCATCAGACAGCAGGGAAAAAATTTAGCTTTCTGGCCATTACTTTTAGCACTCAATTATGTGCATAAATGCAGCAAAAAAAATATAATACACAGGGAAAAAAAAGAAAAGAAAACAAGCAAAACAAAGCCTGCAGCCATACACACACACCCACCCACACACACACACACAAATAACAAAACATACACTCAACGCAGAAAGTTTTCACCCTCCGCAGTTGACTTAATACTTAATGGCATTTAGGGGGCACGGTGGAAATTATTTTAAATTGCAAAGCCAGAACTCAGAGGACGTCCTTGTAGCTGTCGCTGATGTTGAGTTATTGTCCTTTGTTGGCGGGCAAAAGACATTACAAATTATGTCATTACACGGTCTTCTCTTATATATTTTTTTATTTTTTTCATAAATTCACTTTCTTGCTGTTTCATTTAAGTTGCCTGCAGTTATTTAAAATCACTTAAAATTGGCAACAAGCTCAAGTTTCTCCATTGCCCTCTCTACGCAGCTTTCACTTCTACTTATAACTTTTGATTTGCGTTCCAGGCGAAATTATAAGCCAGAAATTTCCATAAGTTTCAAGTGAAATTTTATGCAGAGCTAAAGAAAAATCAACCAGTTCTCCTCAAGTGGCCAAAGTTGATGCAGAAAATACTGCATTGAGTTGGAAAATAGCTGCAGGGGTGTCTGCGATTGGAACCAATTTCCAACAAATTGTTTTCCTTTCATAAAACTTATTGAACTGCATAATAAGGGCACAGTTTCCGCGATGACCTAAATATATACTTGAAGGGCGCTTAAGACAAAGCAAAAAATAAACAAGCTACCTTGACGTGCAGCTTATTGGTAAGAAGATCAAGTTCGAGTATTTCTGTCTTCTAATTACGTGAAAAAGTTATAAATATATTAAGGTCATGCAGTTTATTTTTAAAACCTGATTTATGTTTGGCCAAACAAAAGCAAAAAGCTCAAGGTATTATCCTTTTATAAAACCAATTCAGTCCTACTCAGTTTGAGCATTTTCAATACAATTCGATTGTTGTCCTTTTCTCTGCAATTTTCATACAATGGAAAGCCTTTTCATACAATGTTTGTGTATCTTTAATGCAAGGGAAATAGCACGCTTTAAATTAAATCATAAATAAAATACGTTTTAATATTTTCATCACAAAACAAAAATCACAGAAAATCAAAATGAGTTTATTAATCATTTAATTGACTGCTAAAAATTTATAATCTAAAAATCATAGCACACACAAGGTCATTCGAATTGCCCTTCACACTTCATGAAAATTTTCCATATGTCTGTGCGAGCATTAAATTCACTTGAATTTCCTCGAATAATCACAATTTAATTAGTTGCGAACATTTTTATGGCCGCACAGCACTTGACTCGTAGCCTGAGAGTACTTTTTAATTAGTTACGTTTATGGTTAGAACTTTAATGCATTTTGACAGCTAAAATCAAAGGACAAAGTCAAAATACCAAGTAAAAAGCTCTTTGCAAAGTTGAAACATTTTGAATGTGGTTTTCAGGGTTTTCCAGAGTAGTATTCCCCGCTCCATCCTCCCACCTCCCTGCAACCCAATACGAGTTGTTCACTCACCTGAAATGACCAGGTATGCCGCACGGATCACAATGCAAAACCAAGACCGCCGAGCTGTGGCAAATAAAAAATACATTTTCACTTTTATGACTGCCGTGTAAAAGAGTTTGAATTTAAAATACTTTTTTTTCAGAAGAAAATTTAACTTGCCTTTCAAATTGCTTGCTAGATTTATTGATATTTTTTCGGATTAAAACTACTTTTCTTGGTCATTAAAAATATGAGGTAAAATTTTCACTACTAACTAAGCAGTTTTTATCTGTTTTTTAATATAATAAGCTTTTTATTTCTCATGTTTAAGAACAAGGCACATATTAATTGGCTTTCCTTTCACTTAGCTATGAAAAATAAAAACGCTTCGAAGTTTAGCTTAGATAAGATTAAAATCAATTTCACATTTTGAACAGCAAAGAAAAATTATTTAAAAATGTAAACTCTTTCCGAATTTGATACATAATTTTTTGTTATGTTTCTATTTTCACTGCTCTTTGAGACTTCCACTGTTATTTGGCTTGGTTTGGTTTTAAAAACCTTTAAAAAGTCAGTTTGTTTGTTCTTCATACAAAAATCATTTCCATCGAAAACTATTCGAAATGAAAATTCTCTTGAATGCTTATTTCTACACAGAAATTATTATTTCCAAAAGAAATTTTCAAGTCAAATAGTTTTTTTCCATTGAAGGATTAAAGTAAAAGTGTCCTTGCTTAAAAATACTTCAAAAATCACTACTCTTTGAGTCTAAGCAAATACTTGGTAAAACCAAAACCACAAATTTAATTCCCTAGAATAGAGTTATATCAATTAGTTTCCATATAAAATTCAGCTTAAAAATCCGAAAAGGAAAATCTTTTTAATTTGGTTTACCATTTCCTTTGGAAACATTCAAAAGTTCTCAAAGCAAAACTTGTGAAATCAATTCAGCGTTTTTTAGCACTTGATAATCGCGGAAACGGAAAATGAATGGCACATTTAACGGTTAACGGTTAACGGCTAACGGCTAACGGTTATGCGATTCTGAAAGCGAGTACTAAGTACTGAGTACAAAGAAAAAAAAAACTACCATCGCCGACGACGACGACACTTTCACATTAATTAAACGCGTTTATATGCAGCACGCACACACACACACACACACACACACACACAGACACGTAGACACATACAGGATGCGAGTGCTTTACCTGAGTGAAATTCTTGTATGTGTATGTGTATATACGCTGACCGTTGCGTATCCGCACCGTTGGCTCTTTGAAAATCACTATAGTACTGTGTTAGCGACCTTAGATCGTACGCTGCCACACGTTCGCACGCCGTAAAGTCCCCAAACAGACTGAATCTGCGACTCCGCCGGAGGAAAGTCGAATGCTCCGAATGCCGCGAAGCAACAGCTCGAAAAAGTCCCAATCCAAACCAAAGAACAAAAATGGCCCAAACTGTTGCGCAAAGTTGGAGAAATTCCCTCCAATGTGTACTAAACAAAAAAAGGGATATGATTGTTGCACATGCGCGGATTGGAGGGGAACTTGTACAGGTACTAAAACAGCTGAGAAGCAACAGTTTGTTGCCGAGGGGGGCGGTGGAGAAGTGGGTGAAGGACGGCCCGCCGGTTCCCAGAAGTGGGTCTCTCAGTCAATGTCACACATTCGAGGAGTTTTTCTTGCTTGGCTATGTAAATTATGAGTTGGCTGGTACTGGTACTGGTACTTTCTTGGCAGCTGATTTCCCTGACTTTCATGCTTGTTGCTCTGCTCCCAGAAAAAGAAAATAAGAAAAGCAATTATTAAGTCGGAATATTCGGGTCGCGGGTCTACTGCAATTAGTATGCCCAGCAAGAACATTGACGCCTTTTTATTTGCACATTAAACAGGTGACCCCAACACGGCCAACTGTGTCCACCTGGCCAGACATCGTCGCGCACGTGACGCCCATATATAGCAACTGTATTTAATTAGTTGGCAATTTTTATGCCACACATGAACTGGCCGCGCCCTTGGTCAGGTTTATATATCCCTCAGCTGCTTTTGGGTCCTGTCTCCTGTCTTCAATATCCTGCCTTCTGTGTCGCCAAAGTTTACTGCCATTGTTTGATATTCCCCGTGAACGGCATTAGTCAGCACTGATTACAGTCTGCCCTTTGATTTCGATGACAAAGCGTCGGCTAAAAATACGCGATCAATGGGTCAGTGGGAAATCGATACCTCTGAATGGCATTCTATTTAAGTCGTTTTGATTTTTCTTTTTCATCTGGCTAGGTGAACCTTTTCCAAGTATATAAATATGGTTTCTGTATTTATTATTAGGTATTTCGCGGTGCCGCAGAGGTATCTAACAGAAAAATGTCAGCCAAAAGTCATTAAAAATTGTATTCAAATTTATTGATTCCATTTTTGCCCTTTTTAATATCAGAAAAGAAAAGTAGAAGGACCCTTCAACCTAATCACTTATTCTGTAACTTCATTTCCTCCGTTTGTATTTAGTTTTCCTGCAGCCTGGAGCAATTTTAAGTGAGTTGACCTCCAAGTTTATGATTTTATAATGAATCGGTAACTTGAACAACCTTGTGGCAGCAGGTAGGTCATAATCGAAACTGATAATTGAGCGAACTATTAATAAATATTTCTTCAATTAGCAAAGTACTCGGAGATGCACTAAAACGAATGACAAGGCTAAATGCTAAGGTCATCAAAAGAGTCAGACGACAAGCTGCTAAAATCACTTGCCCTTTCCCCTTTAAATATATCTACATCTAGCTACATCTGACTACATCCTTGCTGCAGTTTATTTCGCTTCTTTATAAATAACGACGGCAAAGTATGCTGGATAAAATGTGAGATCTCTGGGGGGTCGGAAAATTTAAGGGATGGAGTGGAAACATTTGTTTATTCACAGGGCCAGGATCCGAAAAGAATCTGCCACATGCACATGCGAACATAAATGAATATATTTTTCCAGGTAAATCCGAGATTGCAATTTCGAATCGCGTTGGTTAATAGTTTGCATGCTCCACCAGATGGTATCATGCCATGGAAAACAAAATCTTACCACCGATTGTTTCGAATCACAGGTTCGAATGCCAGCTCAGGTTTAATTTTGCGGCCACACCGATGCAGCTGTGCGAATATTTGATGACCGGCTAGCCCACACACAAATTCAGAAATATTTAAAATAACTAAAATACGGAAATCAAAACTGAAAGTTCGAGAGTGTGTGTCGACAACCAACCACATGACAGAAAAACGAACAACAAATCATATCCGGTTCCGTTTTTGCCTATAAAAACAAGTCGAGCCTGAAATATTTCAATAATATTTTGTCTGTGTAGGCCAAAAAGAAAAAATGCCAAACTGAAATTGTAATCCCCGAAGTTGCGAAAATTCATGACAGCCATGTTATTTCATTTTCACAAAAATACAAAGTTATTTAACAGTCACTTGTTTTTCAAATGGCTGCGCAATTTTCCACATTTATGCACAGCTCTCGTTATTGATAATACCAAATAGTTTAGAGGTCAAAAGGTGAGTTTATGGGAATGCGCAAGTTAAAACAATTTTTTAGTGGAATGAATATTTTGATTTTGTAGTGGCTCAATTTGCATGAAATGGTAGATGATTTGGTTAGAGAAAATTCTAAAAAAAAAGTAATGAAAATGTGTAAATCTGTTAATACATTCCTTTAGGTTGACTGACTAGCTTAAATCCTTGTTTAAATTTATATTGGTCAGCTTGCTAACCAAGCTCAAATATGAAGTAAACAGTATTATCCCATTTTGGCCCGAGGTGCATTGCTTTGTTCGCCAAACAATTTGAAAATTTTAGTTAATTTCTCCGCTCGTACACAGGCCTAATTGACCGAACGTCGGTCGCACATTTGTGGGGACAGACAATTAGGTTTTGGACATGGTTTCCAACGACAATAAGGGCCAACCGCAGAAGCCAAACTATGTATGACTATGGCCTAATAACAATCAGCAGTATGGTTAGATGGTAGCCTATTTGGTTGGTTAGTAGACTGCCTGGCTTTCTGGCAGCAGCAGCAGCAGCAGCAACAACACTTTAGACCAGCCTACACGGACCCGGCTAATACAAACATGAAAGTTAATTAAACCGAAAGTAGACTGACATGAATTTATATGGTCTAATAATATGCCTCCAGCTGTAAGGGGAAAAACCAACAGCATCCCCCCTTTCGTGGCATTACGCTTCGCTTAATGGCAAACAATAATTAAAAGTGACAAGTAAATTAGTTTCAGCCGTCAGCTGATTGGGCAAAAGACCTGCGAAGAGATGTTGTTTGACTAATTTTTTATTAGTAGCCAACGGAAGCGATATGGCTAAGAACTTCCGGTTTCTTGTGCAGATTATTTACACCTTCACTAGCTTTGAGCTTTCATTCTTTTGGTTGATGTTTTATTCATGCGACTATTAACCGATTTTATCACGCTACAAATATGCACTACAGGGCGTATGCATAATAAATTCCAGACTTGAGGCATTGTTTGCCGGGTTTTTACTGCAACGCCAGCTGCTCTCTCGCAGAACGAATCTGTGCCACCGTTTTGTGGCAATCTTTCGAGCGTTTTTATATGCCAACGCCGCTTTTATGACCTTGTTTATCCTTGTCACATGGCCCAAAGTCTTTAAAAACCAGCCACAACTTTGATGAACTCGTAAAAAAGAATAACGAATAAGTGGAAATGAATTAGTGCTTAGGGTCGAACAGTAGTTACCCAGTAATTGCAGGGATAAATTGCAAGGGCAGTTGTTAGGAGAGGAAAAATCAATATTAAGGATTACATTTTGATTATCCATTCGACCACTTAAGAAAGGCTTAGAAAGATAATACTTATAAGTTGTAATAAATTCTAGAAAATCCTCAAAAAACTGTTTCCTCCCCCGGAAGTAGGCACATCCACGCACCTTACGCGGCCACACAAGAAGTCTGTTCCTGATGGCTCTTCATGAATGAGTGAATAAATTCCAAAATGGTTGTCAAAAAAGCGTCACAGGGAAATTAATGATGACTTTTATACGCGAGTAATTCATGGCATTTTCATAATAAATCCACACACACACACACACACACAGAGACGAACACATGGGATACCTTGAATTTGATTTCTAAGAAAAGGAAAAATGTGAAAAATATTTATATTTATGAACGCACGAAGGGAAAACAGACAGAGACAAAGAGAGAAGGAAAAGCAGGGAAAGTGCCCAAAATATATACCTACGTCTGCTTATCCTTGTGACTTGGCGACTTTTTTTAAAAAGCTTTTTTATGCTCGTTTGCATACACACACAGACTCTGATTTTGATAGCATTCAAAGTCAGTTTAACAGTCGTCATGCGATTTATAACGCATAATAAGACAATCAGGGGGGAACGAAGGAATATGGCGCCCACGTGCAAGAAAAGGCCACAAAAGAAAAGCCCACAAATAAATACTATACATATAATTTTGCGGTCTCAGGTCTTCTATAAGGCGATAAAGCAAATTGACAATTTCCACCCTTCCAACCGACGACCGCTCTCAGATTTTCCAGCCAGCTTGTCAGCTTCTTATGGCGGTCAGCAAAAGTTGTCAAAGTATTTGCGGTACGAAACAAGTTTTTCTCTCTTAGTTCTTATTTTAAAACTAAAAACCAAACTAAACAAGCCAAGGATTCCATAGAAAGAAGGTGGGTTAAAGTTGGCAAACATTCGGATCGGTGAGAAAATCCTTTCTGAGAAAATTCAATACAATTGTCCAGCTGGGACCTGATTTTGCCTTATTAGGGGGAGAATGCTTTTTGTTTTCCAGTTCAACAGATTTCCTGGGGTATAAAAATAGGAAAGGTTTTTGCTAGCATTAATTACAAAGTATTTTGCAATTAACCTAATTAATTTGATATTTATTGGCATGAAAAGAGATGAACTATTAATTCATTTCCCAAAGTCATTTTAAAGGGCAGTTAATCTATGACTTTTATTACCAAGTAAAGCTTAATCTAAATGGGATCTACTGATTTCCGACTCAATCGAAACTCAGCTCCAATCAAGGACAATCAGTACATATAAAGCCACTTAACCTGATTATATTAACAACTTTTGTTTTGGCTGACAGAGTATTGAAAAGGATTGTGAAAGGGACCCTTTTTTTTCCAGTTTTTCCCTTTTCCCTTCTGTATATTGGCCGACCTTGTGGCGAGTGCAATCAATTGCAAATTGAAAATTCAATTTACGTTAATCGGCTTAAGCTAACCTTATGGCATACCTCTCCGCCTTTCATAATTTAACTTTTTTTTCCCGCTGCCACAACCACATGGAAATATGTATGCAGAAGTTCGTGTGTGGCAGCGTCGAAACTTTCGGTTGCCATGACGAGGTTTTTGTGGTTGTCGTCGTCGCTGCAGCTGCAAAAATGTTCAACTTCAGCTGGTTCTGCAGCAAACCAAACCAAACACCAGCGCATTGTTTTTCATATTTGTTGTCCATTGCCCAGAAAATTAAAAAACCGTTGTTAAAATCTTATCTGCAGCTACAAAATAAAGAATTTAATACAAAAATTTCATACAAAACGAATTCAATTTAATTTCAAGTTTGGTGCCTTGAGAAACCGTCTGGAGACCTTCAATATCTTAGGTAGTCTGAACTTTTAATTAGTTCACTGGGTGAACAACAGACCGGAAATTAAACCAGTGAACATTTTGTGGGTGTGGATGTGTGTGTTTTGGCCATGTTTTTCCACACACACACACACACTTACATCCACTCACGGATGGACTAAACCGAGCCAAACGGAGCCAAACCCATCCACCGATGTCCTTTTCATGCAGGAAACACTTTAATAAAGGACTCGGTGACCGTCGGAGCGTCGGGAGCAGAATGCCCAGCGACAGGACCTCGACCAAGGCTCAAAAAGGACCACTCTTCATTTGGATGAGTGCATGGCTAGGGCGCGGTTCTGAGTTCCCTCCCCCTCCATTTAAGCTGCATATGTGCCACGCCCAACGAGACGTGAACCGACCATTAATTAGCCTTTGTTTTAAAGCACGGCACATAATTGAAATGCATTTTTCACGTCACATTTCCCCCACCCCGGAGGCCAAATGGATGTTTATCCCCTGAAAAATGCATAAAAGCGTGCAGAGTGCATGCAAATGCCGTTGCATCCAGTTGCAGTTGCACTTGTAACTGCAGCAGCCAACAACCAGGTAATTCGATTCACTCGACATCGTGATGCGGTGTAATGTAATGCTAGTTTTTTTTCTGGCTTTGCTTTCCTTTATCCCAGCCATTTGCAGGGATTAACAGAAAAAGTAGTAGAAACAAATTCAGAACACAATCAATCTTTGTTTACTAAAAGCTTACATTTTTTTCGTGCTGGTCTTTAAAGTTTTTAGGTAGTAAAAATTGGGAAAAGGTAAAGCTAAAGGTTAATTCACTTATTATTAGTGAAATATATTCTTTTTATAAGTTAGTTCAATTATTTTGCATCATTTCAGAGCTTAAAATATATTTTTAAAAATCATCACCTAATATGTATTCCTCCCAAAGTTCTTAAAGTCGACTTAGTTCAAGTTAAACAACATAAATTTAGT